GGTAATATTACAGCATTAAAAATATAGGAACTAATTTTATCTGTTATGCATTTGTTCTTCAGCAGGTTATTACTTAAATTTTTAACTTCATCAAAGGCTTGTTGTTTGATAAAATTGTTATCATTATATATATTGAACCAAACACCCAAGATTCTAAGACTTTCTGTTTTTCCTTTAGGTTTGATTTTGATTTTCTGATTGCCAAATTCTAACTCTATTTTTTCATTAAAATTAAAATTCTTTTTCTTAAGTAACAATTCAGATTTTTCTTTATTTATTTGAATATCGTTAAGAGTATAGAAGTCATCAGCCGTTTTTAATATTTTTTCTAATTCTTCTTTATTGCCAGCTAACATTTATCTATCTCTTTTTTAGCGTAGAAGAGAGGTTGAATTGATCAGATCATTTCCAAATTTATCCATTTTTCCGCTTAATTTGGATAGTGTTGTAAATTAGCGTAGAAGAGAGGTTGAATTGATCAGATCATTTCCAAATTTATCCATTTTTCCGCTTAATTTGGATAGTGTTGTAAATGATCGTCAAGAGTTGATATGTTTTTTGATCAATTTTGGAAAAGCTCAGATAAAAATTTGAGTTGCGTTTTATAAATAATACTTAATGCATTATGCTTTATGATTAGATCACGAGTACAAGTACGAGTTTGTGTAGACAATTCATAATCATAATCATAATGCATATGCATATGCTTATGCTTCTTTGACATCAAAAGAATAAAATTGCGATTTAGGGCTTCCTGTGCCACTTTTGTTGTAAGTTAAGTTGAACCATCAAAAAATAAGACACACGGCAAATTTCAATTTTTGATGATCTGCGTACATAAAATTTTTTTTTCTTTTGTTTTTTTTCAAGTTAATTTTAACAAAAATAAATGTATATATTTTTTTTTTTCGTATAATGATTATTTTTATTAATCAATAAATTAAATATTATTGTTAAAGTTTCAAGAAAAAATTCATACAAAAAATTAAATTTATTTTTTTACTTTTTTTTAAAAAAAAGAAATTTACTTTTAATAGATATATTTTTTAATTTTTGTTGTACAATAGATGCAATAAATAATTTTTATTAAATTAAACATAAATTTTTGACTGTAATTTTATTAAAAAAAATTAATAAAAGGTCTTTAATTTTATTTTTTTCGTAAGTAAATTGAAATTTTTAATGATCTACGTAAGAAAAATGTCACTTCATTTATTAATTTGGGGGTTTTTTATTTAAAAAAAGAAAATTACTTTCAATAGATATATTTTTTAATTTTTTTGTACAATAAATATAATAAATTATTTTTATTAAATTAACATAAAATTTTAAATGATTTTAAAAAAAATTTAAATAAATGATCTTTAAATTTTATTTTTTTCGTAAGTAAATTGAAATGATGATCTACGTAAGAAATTTTTAAAATGTCACTTGATTTATCAATTTTGTGGGTTTTTTTTTTAAAAAAAATTACTTTACCGAATAAAGTATTTTTATTTTTTGTTATACAATATACAATAAATTATTATTAAATATTTACCATAGTATCAATAAACTATTATTAAATATTTACCATAGAATAACAACTATTTTAAATTAACCAATTAAAATTTAGATTTTTACGGCAATAAATTGAATTTGATGATTTACGTAAACAAAAGTTTCAATCTTATTCAATTATTATTTATCTATCAATTTTTTTGTTAATCTTTATGAAAAAACGTATCATACAGTATTATTCAATATTTTTTTATTTTTTATTTAATAAAAAAAAATTATTTTATTTTATTTTATTTTTATTTATATAATAATTAAATGATGAAAAATTTACAAATATTTTTTGTCATTTGAAAATTCATTAGCTAATCAACAAAATCCCAAAACAATTACTAATAAATTTATTATATATTTGTCTAATTTAACTTTTAAACAATTAAACAAAATTTTATTATACATAAACATTTCACATATTAAAAAAATTCNATATGTCGCATTAAGTAGGTGTCCAAACTGGTCAAATGTTTATATTGCAGCTTTAAATCCTTCTGCATTTATTACAGATCAATCAATGATTGAAGAATATGAGCGACTAGAACAAATAGCATCAACTCCATTACCTTTGTAAATGAATTCAATCATTGTTTTAATAAAAATTGATATCACCAAATTAAAACTAATATATAATTAATGCCCCATGTTATTTTTGTACCAAAATATATACAAATCCTATCTCTCAAAAATTCCTCTTTTATAAAGGTTAAAATCGCTAAAAATACATAAAAAATTTTTTTTCTGGGGTGACCGAGTCACCCCCAGACCCCCTTCTTAGCCTTTTTTTTTTTTTTTTTTTTTTTTTTTTTATTTTCCAAAACTCAAAAAAAGGCCAAATTTCTATCAGAAAAAATTTTAAATTTTCGTTGGGAAATAATAATGAAATTGATGTAAATATTTTTTTTTTTTTTTTATCATTTTTTATTTTTCACTTTTTATTTTATTTATTTCATTTTTATTTAATTTTCTTTCACTTCACTTTTGATTTTATTATCATTATATCATATTTCAATTAAACAAATGATAATTGCACATTAAATTATCAGTAGATTATCAGCATTACTGGCAAGGTTGTCCAGGGACGGAGTCCCTGGTGTTAGACGCATTTCTAGTTTTATTAAATAAATATGAAGATTCCATATTGAAATTAAAAAAGAAAAATAAATAAAATAAAATTCAAAAATAAATGTTATAATGATTCGGATAATACTGAAAAAATTTTAAATTTGAATATCTTTTACCTTTAGAAATTGTGTGCATGTAACACAGTATTCATATCTTAAAATTTATATTTGCTACATTTGTAAACAAAAATCTTTGATTATTTTGATTATTTTTTCATTTTTTATAATCATTAATTTTCTTCAATGATGTCGATCTTAGTATTTTATATTATAGTTTAAGAAAAATTACTGCCGAAAAAAGAAAAGTGTCGTTCTTAAAAACGTCATATTTTCATTTGAGATTTCCTTATATATATGTACAACCACGCACAAAAAAAAGTTGATCATTACTCAATTAATTTTTCATAATAAGAAAAAAGATTTTTTTTATGCAGGAGGCGCAAATGGAAAAAAAAAATAATTTCTTTGGTAATAAATTTATACATTTATAAGCGATTACTAAATGAGTCAAATGAGAGACATTTCAGTTGATAAAATATTTACCTTCGATGATGTCGATGATGAACCACATAATGGTAAACCTATTACTATGATAGAAATATCACCAAATGAAAACTACTTTATTACTTATAGTGAAAGAGATAGTTCAATTGTCGGTTGGAATGTTGAAGATATAAATAAGGTTCAACTTAAATTTGATAAAACTGTTAAAATTAATCATGGAATCAAAAGTTTATGTGTTTCTGATAATAAGAAACTTGCTTATATTTGTCATGGTGATAATTTTGGTAAGTAATAATTATTTGATTATGTAAATATTAAAATTATGGTAATTGATATTTATTTTAATACTTTTTAGTAATCGATATGGATAATAAAGATAAAAATATTGCATTAAGTTTTTATGGAAGAGTTGATGCAGAGTATTGTACCTTTAATTTAAAGGGTGAATTTATTTTATATAGTAAAGTTTACGCTCATTTTACTTTTGTAGAAGATAAAAAAATTATTTGGATTTATTCTACACAAACTAAAAATGACAAATGGGAATGTAAGAGATTTTACAAGATACCTGAAGATTATGAATTAATAAGTATATCAAAATATGATAAAGTTTACCTGTTTTCAAATGATTACATTTTTGAATGGAATATTAATACTGAGAGAGGTGTAAAAATATTTGGTAATAATAAGGATAATAATAAGGTAATAAATATTATAAAATTTATTTTTAAACCAATCAATTTTAAATATATAAATATTATTTATTTTTTTTTTTTAGTTTTGAAACAAAAAATATCGGAATATTCAGTAATGATGAAAAGTTTATTTTTCTAAAAACCAATGATAAAATTATCGTTTATTCAATCGAATTGGAAATTCTTATTGATTCTTTGGATATAAATGATGGTAATTATTTTTAAAAAATTTTATCTATACTTTAATTATTACTCATATTAAATCATTATTTTTTTATGTAGATATTCAACTATATAATTTTATGAATCATACTGGTTTATTTCTTTTACCTTCTTTATTCTATTATACCCTAGATAAAGAAATCAAATATTGCTGGATCAGTAAATATAAAAATAGGTTTAATCAAACTTTATTTGATGAATCAACTGATGATCAAACAAAGTTTGTGTTTGGAATTCTAAATGAACGTGTTTGGAAATCTAAATTTTACGAAAATATGTCAAAAGTTAAAGTTATTAAATGTGATGATGATGACAAGAAAACTTACAAACTCTTAAATATCCATCTATATATGGATACTGTGTCTACATTATTTCAAAAAGCCACAATAAATGATGATGATAGTGAAAAAGAATTAACTGTATCAACTGAAAATTTAATTAAATGGGATATACGTGTTGATGACGGTAAAATTAAACTGGAAGTTTTCAAAAAAGGAAAATTAATTAGCATGAGAATTGAAAATTATCATTATCCTTATAAATCTGATGATGATTTCCGCAATAATCATAAATTAATTGCGAGCTCATTATTTAATAACAATGATATCGTTATATTGACAACATTTGGTATTCTTATTTATACTTTTAGTGAAAATAACAAATCTAGTGATAATGACAAATCTATTTTTTTAAACTATTTTTATTTTATGAAATTAGAGAATTATAGTTATAGAAATAGCAATAACAAATATCTCATTAAAAAATATAAAGAATATATGAAAATACTTCAACATTACAAAAGAATATTTTCAAAATCTACTTTGCCATTACCAAATTATGATAGTTTTAGATTAGATGGATGGGTTTCAGATGTAATAAATAATAAGTCAAGTCTTTTGAAATATGGAGTTGAATTATTAAAATTTGCAATTAAAGAACATAAGTTAGAATTGATTGATGATATTTATAAAAAATGTATGACTTATTTTAAAGAAGATTTAATGAACAATAAGTCATTTTTAAGTATTATCACTTCCACAATGCCATTACTAAATGAATATTATCCAAAATATATTATAAAATATACATCAGAAACGAATATGATCATAGATTCATCTTTTTATAGTACAAAGAATCAAAATAAAAATTTAAATCTTTATCCTTTTTTTCAATCTCCTCAAATAGTTAATTTATCTCAATCTCTCTTATGGACAAAGTACCACCATAAACTTTATTGCATAAAGACTAAAGTCAATTTTCCATTAATAAAATATTACATATTACAATATTTAATGATGTATCATACATATACTTCACAGTTCACACTGTCGGTGGCAAAAATTACGTTTTTGACCACTCGTATTACTTTCTTGACTTGATCAAAATATGCATGATTATGCATGACAAAAATGTTCTTTTCTTGACCTGCAAAAAAACATTAACGCATAATTTTTCAAGAGTTATATACACAAAGAGATTAATATTTAATATCAAAAAAATAATATAATACTTATTTTTTATCATTAGTGATTAATAACAAAATAATTTATTATTATTTTTTTTTTTTTTTAATATTTAGTTTTATGCGGGTTGTAGTTTAGTATTTATTACCTAATTAATGTACTTCTCTTAAATGTAATCTATTTATCGGCTATCTTTTGTAAATAAAATAAAATTATTTTAATTTTATCAATATTGTAGAAATAAAAAAAGTATTAAAAGAACGCTACTTTTGTTAAATATAAATAAAAAATAAAATATTTCTTTTTTGTTTATCACATATCGCGTTTCAGGTCAAGAAAGGAACATTTTTGTCATACATAATCATGCATATTTTGACCGGGTCAAGAAAGTAATACGAGAAGGGTCAAGAAGGTAATTTTTGCCTAACGGTGAGGTAATTATAAATGAAACTATTTAAAACATATATAAATAAATTCTAAAACCATTCCTATAATTAACCCACTACTTTCCATACTCTGTTTAGAGGAGCAAAGCCCGCCCTATAGAAAATTCATATAATTATTTTTATTTTCACTTTTACTAATAGTTATCAGCAGTTAAGAACCTAAACTGATGCGAATTAAAGTAGATCATTACATAGAACTGAAAAATAAAAAACTATTACTATTCTAAACTACCCTTGCTATAACAACCTACTCTAACCCCAGGAAGATGGCACTGTACAAAAATATAAATAGTTGTTTATTAATCATATGATAAAATGATATTAGTAACACATTACAGCAGGGGAGGAAATTTCCTTCTGGTTTAGTAATTCTTTATATATAATAGTTTAATGATTGAATAAGACCAAAATTCTATATTTTTCGAGTTTATAATGAAGACATTATAATTAATCTATTAAGTTTTCCTTTCAAGATATTTATTTTAACAAAAAAATTCTAAAAAATTAATGAATTTATTAGAATAGATAAAATGATTGTTCGCATGATAAAAAATTCCAGTTAATTGTCTCAATTAATTAATTACACTTAAATGCTGCTTTTACTTATTAATAAAAAAAATTAAATTAAATTAATATTAATGGTGTTGAAAAAAACACCTAATAAATTTTTATAATTTTAATGTCGCATAAGTCGCATAAGTAGCAAGTTATAAGAATTAATGAATTTAATAAAAAGAAATAATGTGTAAAGAAATATAGTTTCATACAATTATAAACAAGCTTGTGAGTTGTGAATTTAAGATTTTGATATTATGATTATGTGACTTCTGATAAAATACTACCATTTATTTACTGAATATTAACAAAGAGATTCAATAAATTAGTATAGATCACTCTTCAACTTTTTATTTTATCCGCAATTTGTCACATGACTTTAAAATCTACGGTAACTGTTTCTAGAAATTCACGGTACACAAACTACACAATCAACATAAAATTATTTAAATAAAGCTACGACTTTCAAACTTAAAATTTATAGCTTTTCTTATTATTTTACATTAGAAAATCATGTCTTCAAAATTTTGGGCAGAGTTATCTAACGATTATGAAAAATTGCTTGAAACAGAAATTGGATATGACGTTATTATTTACACCGGAGAAGGACAAAATATGAAGGAAATTCATGCTCATTCAAATATTTTGTGTATTAGGTCTCAATATTTCCGTACTGCATTTTCTAATGAATGGGCTGAGAAAAGAGATGGAAAATTTATTTTCAAAAAACCAAATATTTCACCTCAATTATTTAGTATCATTCTTAGGTAATTTTATAAATTCATTAATTTTATCTACATATACGATATATTTAAATATTAATTATTTATTATTTAGATTTATTTATTGTGGAAATATTGAATTGAAAAATTTACAAGGTTCCGATGTACTAAAATTATTGATAGCAGTGGATGAGCTAAATATCCATTCGTTAGTTTTCCATATTCAAGAATTTTTGATTGAACATCAGACAGAATTTTTAAACCAGAATCCAACCGAAATCCTTGAAACTATTTATCAACATGAAACGTTTACGGATTTATGGAATTTTTGTCTTGATAAAATTTGTGAAGAACCTAAAATTTTATTTAGCTCTGATAATTTTATTAACTTAAAAGCTCCTTTATTGGAATTATTATTGAAGAGGGATGATTTGAATATGGGTGAAGTTGAAATTTGGGAGTATTTATTGAAATGGTGTTTCGCTCAACAAAAAATGCAAAATAATCCAACAAAATGGAATAAAGATGATATTATAAGGGCTGAAAGGGAATTATACAAGTTTATTCCTTTAATTCGATTTTATGATATTGAACCTACAGATTTCTTTTATAAAGTTTATTGTTACAGAGATATATTACCACAGGATTTAATTCATGATCTTTTGGAATATTTTATAGTTCCTAATGTGAAACCTAAAGTTAATTTACCTCCTTCAAGAAATCCAATTCTAAAATATCAACTTGATTCAACCATGATTGAATCAAAACATCTTCCCCTCATTTCTTCATGGATTGATAAACAAGAATCCTCTTATTATGATAGAAAAAAAATTCCATATGATTTTAAGTTATTATATAACTCAAGTAAGGATGGAATTGATACTGATTCTTTTCATAGGAATTGTGACAATAAAGGAGCTACTATTTGGGTGGCAAAAATTAAAAATTCAACACAATTAATTGGAGGGTATAATCCACTTGATTGGAGTGTACAATCTGGATATAAAACTACAGCAGATAGTTTTTTATTTAATTTTACAGATGGAAAAAATATTTCCACTGCAAAACTAGGGTATGTTATTATGACCGATAAAGCTGTTTATTGTGGTAGTAATTATGGACCAAGTATGGGTAATTTATTTTGTTGTAATAATAATTGGAATTATAGTGATGGTGATAATGGAAATCGCTATCATAGAATAGGAATTCCAAAAGTTTTTGAAGTAGAAGATTATGAAGTATTTCAAGTAATTAAAAAGTAACTTACAAATGAAATTATTTTTCGTTGTCTAAAAAGTTATGTATACTAAAAATTAGTTCACTTCTAAGTGAAAAAAACTTTTTAATAACGAAATAAATATTTTTTAATTAAATATGTAATTCTATTTTTTCGTTCTATTTAATAAATATATTGTATGATAAATTAAGGTTACATAAATTTAGTTTAAAATTAATTATTAGGACATACAATTAATTTTATATTTAGAGTCTGCATTATTATTTTATGCAAACTCAAATGATATTTAAGATATTTTAAATCTATAACTTATTTAGTAATTTATATATTATTTTTTTTTTTTTACATAAATTGTCGTAAAGGCGGTAAAATTATTTTATAAAATTCACTAAAATCTCCTGATAATAATAATCATCGTGCATCAAATGTTTGTTGAGGAACTGATTTATCAAAAATTCAATTGGGGCATTGGTGAGTTAAGGATAAATAAATAGTACAACATTCATATGAATGAAATTTTTTAAGAAAAAAAAAAAGAATTATTACAGAATCATTTAATTTCAAAATATCAGAAAGTAGTGAATATCTAACAACACGAAATCTATTCCTCCACCACAATATTTACTTAGTTGATATAATAGCTCATATGTGTTAGCATGTGAAGCCTTTTTTATCACTATTATTATTATGTTTTTCAAATAACTTGGACTTTTTTATCGTGAATGATTTACTAGCTGAAAGTCTTATATTTAGTCTTAAATCCAAATCTTAAGAATTTGATCAAAGAATTGAAAAAATTATTTGGATTCAGTGAAAAATGATTTATGATAATAACGTTAGACAAATTTATTTCGCATCCCGGAACCTGCAAACAGAGATAAAGTTTTCTCTTTTTCATACCAGTACTTACATCCAATAGAGAATTCTCAATACCGGAACTTGCAATAGAGAAAAAAAAAGTTAAGAATTTTTCCTCAATACTGGACTTAATGAAATTAAAGAGACATGCAAAAATGGCCTTGCATGCAGATAAATGTAGAAGATTTTTTTTAATACCAGAACGCTGAATAAAGTAATTTTTTAAAAGGAGCATATTTGAAATTATAAAAAAAATTTGACCACCAGTGAATAACTCCCATGGAACTTGCCTCTTGTTTTAATCGTAATTTTATCTTGAAACTATGGAAACGTTCTTTTAAAATTATTTGGTTCAAAAAAGTTAACAGATTTATAAACGAAAGCTTTAGAGTTTAGTTCTTTTCCAATCAATATTTCTATTAGAGTTAAGAATTCTGATATATTCTTCAATTCAAATATTAAATTTGTTAATTCCGATGGATATAGTATAAATTTTCATTCTAAATAGGTTTAATCAATAGAAAAAGAAGAATTCATTGTAACCGAAAAACTTTTTATTATAAATTTTAAACATAAATACGCAAAGTTAGAATTAAAAAAGAAATATCTAAATTACACGGTACGCAAATAATATCATAGTAAGATCGGTCGTGTATATATAATCTTCCTCTAAGGCCTAAGCAAACTTTTCTAAGCGGCCCTTTAAGCAAACGAGTAGAGAATATCGGTGCAAGTTAGAAATATACACCTTTTGTATAATGTATACAAAATAACTAACAAATATTAACCTTTTTAAGGTTGCAGATATGGTTTCTTGATTTTTTTTTCATTGTGGTAAGTTAAAATTCGTCAACATAAAATATCTTTATTAGTCCTGATAATTTTTGTTTGCAGATAATTTCAAAATTATTCTCATAATAGTTTTAGCTTCTGTGATATATATTTGCTTTTAAAGTTTGGATACGAGAAAAATATTTTTCTTTTTTAAAGAAAAATTATTTATGGTTATCTAAATATTATAATCTAATGTAATTCAAATGAATATTCTTTACTTATTAGTACTAGTTAATTGAAGATACGCCGCCGAAGAAAAAATATAATTAAATTAATATGAAAAATATTATTATTACAAATGTTAAATCTCGGTTAAAAACATTTTGTATGAATCGCGTACGTAATAAAAATTTCTATTACAATAAAAATTTTTCTTTTTCATGATGCGCGAGTTATGAAAATCTAAAAATTAAAAATTTATTTACAGCGATATTCCAAAGATCAAACCCTAATTCATAGTTTCAAAACATTAATACATTCTTGTTCGTCGGATGATCTATAAAAATCGTCCATTAGAAGCGAATGTTGTAAATCTGCTTTGATAATTAATTTATAAATATATCATCTTCCAAGGACTTTACATTTAATAGTTAGTAACATAACACTTACTATACTTATCGGTATGACAATATCTGTGAAAATCAGTGTTTAAATTATTTTTTTAATTATTATATGATTAATTCCATCTTTTCTCACATGTAATTCTTATTGTCTAGGGGGTAAATATTTTAATGAAAATCAACAGTTTCCAACTTTATTGATTTTTTTTAAATTTCAGAAGTGAGTTGAAAGAAACATATGATGCTATCAAAGAGGGAAGAGAACGCCGATATATTACAAGAGGAGTAATATGTTTATTTTATTTTAGGACATCTAAAGAGATGAGAAAATCGATTTCCGAACTAACCTCATTATTACTCGGAATATACAGATTGTAAATATCAACGATCAACGTTTGATTTTTCGCTTGATTATTGCTTATATTTGCACAAGGTGGATAAAAAGATTTACTAACCGGGGCATCTTTCTATATAATTTGCAGGATCAAATGCTTTTTGGGGGAAATAATTACGAAAATCTGATCAACCACCTCCCCTTAATTTAACAATAAAAGAATTTAACGCTATATGTTAAGAACATCAAGGGCTTTTTTTTTTAATGAGAAAGTGCGAGAATAAATTATTTGTAATACATGTGACGATTGTGACGTAATACTATAATATTACTGCGCATGTATTTATCAAGCTACAGAAATAATACATGCAAAAAAATTATAAAATGTCTGGATTGTTTCTTTTTTGTTTACTATAACTAGTATATATAATTTTCACTGAAGGTATTATTAGCGGACTATCTTGTAAAAAAGAATAAATAGCATCGCCATGTAGCAGGCTACAACCTCAACCTGTATATTATCATATGATCAATAAAGCAAAATTATAACGCAAAGTACATTAAGTTAATAGTACAATCAATACTCACAATCTTGTGTTGATTACATTGTCCCTTTCCATAAAATAGTATGAAATAGGCAAGTAGCCTAGTACATAAATCATTTACATTTCCATACTTAGTCAAATACGGTCACCGTACGACCGATTCACTTATAAATACTCATGATAAATATTCATGATGAATACTCTTCTTCATTTCTTTCGCATAGATTTTTACTGATAAATTCTATTTATTCGAAGTACCTATATCGTCATTATAATATTTTATTATTAATCATTATGAATTCGGAAAGGTTTTTACAAGTATATATATATCCTCAAAATTTCTCTCTCATTAAAAAACACTTCTTTATTTTATCTCCCAAATGATGGTGTCAATAAATTGTTTATTCATAGGAAAGACTTCTTTTGTTGATACTTTTGCGGTTAACGTTACTGAAGAAAGCGACATTCTTGGTTCTTTAGTCAATATTAATAATTTAAAGATTTCAGACCTCGTCTATGAGGAGATTAAGGATACTAAGTTTAATTATAAGGACATTGACCTTTAGAAGGTTGACATCGCTTACGATGAATGAGACAGGCTTAAAACATGTTACTACCGAAGATGATATTAAAGAAAAACTTGGAGGCGAGCAGTTGATACCCATCTTCTTGGTTAAGGGATGTTTTGAAAAATTTATCCAAAGGAATATTCACGTCATCGTACAAGTGCCCGCTACTGATAAGTTTCTTCGTGTTAAAGGTTCTCATGAACGCTTGAAGATGAGTAAGTTTGCACATGATTCAAAAGTTCATTAAGCGTTGTTTCGTGATTTTCTGGACCTAACCTTTTTTTTATGTAGGCCGCTGCTTCTGTTCTTCTAACCGTCTAGATCCAGAAGAAAACTTTATATTAAGCCTAAAGAACTTGTTGCGAATCTAGGTAGTCACATCGTTGAGGGCAAGTTCTGTTTGTTTCATGGGCATCGACAAAGTGGCAAAATGACTGCTGCTTGGGAACTGAAACGTTGGATTGAAACTAATAGCAAACATACAGTTTGTTAATTAAACTTTAATAGTGGAATTATAACTAATGAAGGTCTTACTGAGTTCTGGCGGTCCGTATGCGTCAAAGTGAAGTCTGCTATACCTGCTTATGTAGATGAAGCGTCTTTCTCTACTAAATTGAAAAATGAAAAAATAAGAGCAAGTGCTTTTGAAGGACTCTTTAATAAAGACAGAACATCATTGAGAGATATAATCTTGATTATAGATGAAGCCTCAAGACCAATTAATGATAACGAAACTTCATGGTCTTATAGCTTCTTTGCGGGTTCTTAGAGACCAAAGAGGAGATATTTCCATTGTACATTCTGTAGTGCTCATCGGCACCGAGGTCATTAAGGATTTTCTGCTTGCTTGAGCTTGACATTCAAAGTATTCTACTTCGGTCATTTCACCATTTCCAGCTGAGGGAGTCTTCAATTCAGCTCAGTTTATTAATTAGAGGTCAAGGATCTTCTTGCTCAATATGCTGAGGATAATAAGTTTGAAATTGAAGTAGACAATATTGCTGCGGATGTTTACTCTCTTACCCTTGGACACAAGGGTCTTGTCGGTAACTGCTGCTATTATTTTGAGCAAAAAATCATGTCTGGAGCTATCAAAGCAACTCTCGATGACTAGGTCAAAGAGCGTGATGAAGGAAGTTGACGTCATCAGCGTCTGAATATTCTCTTCCGTAATAAAACCTTACCTGTTTATGGCTTTGAACTCTCTGTTGCAGCAAGCGAGTCAGTGTTTGATAATCACCTTGAACGTTCCGATTATTATTCTTCCATCCATAAGTGCGATAAAATGTATACAATTGATATCAGCTCTAGCGAAAACCATGCTAACTACTTTAGAAAATTTGTAAAACAAAATTATGAAAATGTGATTCCCGTTCACGTCTGGGAGACGGCAAGGCAAAACTAGTGTATGGGAGTGACGATAAGGAAGAAGTATCAATTACCGGGTTTAAGTGGCAAATGATGTGGGGCTAAGCTTAAAAAAGAATATATTATAAAAGATATGTACTTGATTGCTACATTGCTAACAGAAATATGAACGTATTTATGAAAAATAGATAATAACAATAAATAATAAAAATACGAGTCATAATTGTTAAAATATACAAACAATTATAATTAAATTATTAAACAATAATATGTAAAGATTTGGGTTATGCATTAAATTTCTTTATAGATATTTACATTGATAATATATTACAATAATAAATTACGAGATCGAGTTGTTACATGTTATACATGCGAAAAATACAGATACATGACGTCTACGCTAATATACATGCGAACGCTTTACGGCCGATTATTTTTTCTTGATTATTTCTTCTACACGACGCTTCTTAGTTGCGGGTTCCTCACTACCTACTATTCTATCCTTTAATAAACCTACTATGACCTCTAAAAGAATCGCCTATGTCAGCTATATTCGTCGTGGACATATGGACATATTCTGAGGTCGTAGTCTTAAAAACGATACAATTTGGCGTGTTTACGTGGTTTTTCACAATATTATTTACCTACGTAAAAGGACTGAGAGTGTCATGGAAGATCAAATGATTCGTTTCATATCATTAGAGGATGGGTTTACTAATGCTGAAATTCAACCACAAAGTCCCTACGATCCGCTGCTAACCTTAAAAAAGATCCCAAAAAAAATTGCAGAAGGCTTTTGATGATAATGAGCTGGGGCAATCTTTCCGAGAAATGCATTATAATCTGATCGGCATGAGCACCGGTTATAAGAGAACAAGACAAGTTTACTGAAGTTCCTGCTATTATACAATATGATCGCCAAAAAGGTATTTTTCGCCGTGGATGTGACGAATTCTCTGATAAGATTCGTGAGTACCCGGTAGATGTTGTCGCAACTCCCTGTGGTTTAGGTGTGAATAGTTACTGTCAAGTTTATCAATAAAATGATATGTTAGGGTCAAGTATAAGAATAAATTTGTTTGCCCACATTTAGGTTTAAATTTTTAACTCGTGTACATCAGACTAATAAAAATTGACACGTTACTGGCACGCACGTGATATATAAGACCAATCAGCAGTAAAATATAATTGGAAACTTTTTTTTAAAAAAAGTTTAATATTGAACTTTTCGTGTCTTTAGATACAAAAATATTTAAATTTTTTTTAAAAGTTATAGAAAAGCAATTAACAAATTCTTTAAATCGGAAGTTTTTCAGATATTCTATTTTTAACGTAATAATACCAACAAATCGCAATCATGTTTGATTTTGATGGACTGATATTTTTTTTTTCGTTATAAATGGATAAATATTAAATATATTTGCAATCATAGATTTAATATTAATATTTTAACGAGTTTTTGACGTCATTATGGTATACTTTTTATATACTATTTTTTAAACTATCATCATGATCTCTGAACTGAACGCAATAATTATTTATAAATCATTATATGAAAAAGAAAACATTAAAAAAATTCATTAAAATAACAATTTTCATGAAATGAATTAAAATATATTCTTTTTATTAGAAAATTTTGAACAAAAAGATTGAATAATCATGGTATATAAAGTTGATCGCTATTTAATTTTGCAAAATGATGGAATTGGTGTAAGGACTGTAATCCAATTTGAAAACAATTGAAAGTTTGGGGAAAATCTAATCCAAACCTAATTTATAACAATTTGTATTTTGAATTTGTAATAAATCACATTTTGTTCTAATTTCTTTTTGGATAATTTCCCAATTGTTTGATTTTCAATTGTCTGTAATCCAATAAAACTTGATTGGACGTTTATCAAAAATATGTATTATGCTGATCACCTTAGAAATTTTTGGCAATTACAGATCAATTAGTTGATATTTCTTATTTTTATTTCGCCCTGTTTGTTATAAACTTATAAACAATGAAGGATTCAAGATATTTTTATGCTAATGACTAAAATAAATGATTCCTAATAGTTTATAGTACTAATAATATTTATTTAATTTCATGTAATATATCCATATACGGTAAATCCATATACGGTAAAAATAATTTTACTTAGTTAAAAAAAAATAAATCATAAATAATTGGAAATGGAAATTAAGTCCAATAATCTAATTAATTTTGGAAATGAACCATTATTAGTCCATTTTAGTCAAAATCTATCATTAACTATTTGAAGCTATTATCACTATATTTATTATTATCATTATTTATTAATTTTATTTATAACCAATAGTTATAAACGCTATCTTTTACTAATATTGTTTATAAACTACAGATTGTTGATAGACTATTATACGAGTCAGTCCTATTTGATATGAGAGTGACCCTAATTTAATTATCTATTTTCTAATTATCTATTTTTTTCTAATTATCTATTTTCGTATTATCTCTTTTGAAAGACCATTAATAATTAATCTTGACGAAGACGAATTTTTGATAATTTTATTAAAAATAAAAATAAAAAATATCGAGCTAACGATTTAAAATAATCGCTTTATATTTTTTGTTTGTCCTAGGTTTAGGTAATTGTGTGACTGTGTAAGAAAATATTATCGTTCAAACAACTTTTGCGATGAATATTGATCTACGGTACATCGATATTGTAATACAATAGTACATGCATATATAAAATTTTTAAGTTGATATTATATTTTACTGGTAATCCATTATATTAATCAGGTTTAATATAATTAAAGTAAATATAAATTAAACGTATATTACGGTAAATATATAAGTTCGATTTTTCGGTTCGTACGAATGACGTCACTAGACTTTTAAAAATACTGTTATAAAATTTAAATTTTTGACGTGCTCTAATACTGATCTAATACTGTTTTAATATCAATATTATCAATAGTATTCTCAAAATTTTATCATAAAGTTCAATCAAAATGTCAATTTTTTCTTGAAAATATAATTATCGAAGTTTAAAAATTTGCTATTGGTACACTTTGAAAAGTGATCATATGAAACGTAAATACTGCGGCTTACAATAAAAATATCAGATGATGATCATCATCAAAAATAAAAAAATAACAATATGAACGCCACACTAATAATATATTGACTAAGCGTATTCGGCTTATCCCTTTTTATTGTAAATTTATTAAATTGTATAAATAAGGTTAAATCTTTATGTCATTAATATTTCTTAATTAGTTTTTCTATAAAAGCAATATTTGCTTAAATAAAGTAAAACTATTTTTCTTATTTACTTAAAATAATTATTAAATTATCGTTATTGTCTATATATATTATCTTAATTTATATTATGTATATTTTTAAATACTTTAATTACATAGATTCCAAAAAGTTCAAATTTTTATGATAAACATGAACCTCATTATTATTATCGTTATTGTAATTTCGATTTCGTAATTTTGATGTAAAATCTATATATCGTTTGTTTAATATTTCAATAGATGAAAATTCACTTGGACCAAGTTCACAAGAATTAAAATCTGTCGCATATTTTAATATTGCTTCAATAATTTTCGATGTAAAATAATCCAAAGTTATCTTACGTAAATTTCTATTGGCTGTTTTAATAATTCCGACTAAAAATTTATCTAATAAATAATATTTTTTAAAATTAAACGTAAATCTTCTTAATAAAGGGAATGATGTTGATAATGATAATAATCCCTTATTATCTAATCCAGTACAATGATTTAATCCTAGAATTTCTAATTTACTACATGATTTTAATATTTTTAATGCCTTATTACTTATAATATTAAAATTACAATTTTTAATTGAAAGATATTCGAGTGATTCTTTATGATTTTCAAGTGCTTCTAATATAGGTACGAATATATCATCCTCAGAAAATTCGATAATTAAAACGATCAACTTCTTTTGTTCTCTAATTAAAGAAGCCAATGAACGAGATGATTCCATGTTTTCACAATTAATTTTAATTAATGTGATATTTTTACAAATTTTTAATAAACCGATTTGAAATTTTGTAAAATTTAATTTACTGGTAATATGAATACCATATAATTCTTTTAAATTTTTATTTGCTCCAGGTAAATAGGGAATATTATTAATCTCTTCTTCTATAATATCAAGTTCTTTCGTTTGAATTCCATAATGAAATCTTCTTATAGTTTTAATTGATTCGCTTTTATTTATTATATTTAATAATAATTGTTGAAATATTAATCGAATTTTTTTTATATTTAAATCATAATTATTATCAACTTTTATATCAAAATTTTCATTTTCATATTCTAATAATAAATAATCTTTTATTCCTTTATAAATATAATCATAAGGAATATTACGAATAAAATATGCGTAATCAAATATTGTACCAGATTTTGATGTTGTTAAATCTATTCCATTATCAATTAATAATTTTCTTGATTCATTATTTAAAGTTGATAAAAGTGTACGAATAATTTTATAATGATTAAATCGATGTCCTTTTACGAAAGGATTTTCCCATAATATTGATATGATAATATTACACCATTCCCTATTAACCATTAAAGCAGGATATCCATCTTTAGTATAATCTTTTAAAAGTTCTCTAAAGATTTGGAATTTTATTTCTGTTAATAATTTATTCATATTTGTGATATTTTGGTTATTTTAATAAGAGGATTTAATATTTCAGATTGTTTTTTTTTTTGAATTTTTTTTTTTCTAATACCGCCAAATACAGTCTTGTGGGCTTGTGAACTTTATATATGGCTTTCTGTGGCTTTATGTAGTACAAATGGCCTTGACTTTTATGTATAGATTTTTCTGTGGCTAATATCTTAAATGCAGTGTAAATGTTGTTATTTTATATATGGTTTATTCTGTGACTGTGGCTGATAATATTAAATGTAGTACAATGGAATATATACATTACTTATGACCGAAACAAAAAATTAAACATTTCTATAGAGAACGATTTCGGATATTTCGTTCAATAAAAAATTTTTTGGGAATATTTTCGGTTAATAAATATTTTAAAATTTTTCAAAATTGGGTTCATTTTCTTCATTTTCATATTAACTACCAATTTAGGGGTAAAAACAAATACCCATTTTGTTTAATTAAAATAGTCCCATTCATTATTATTATACTATTACCCCCGTTAATAATATAATATTATTCATTTCTTTTCTTTTCTTTATAATTAACAATTAAAAATTTTTAATACATTCTGTTCTATAAAAATATCATTTTTTTTCATTTGCGAATATTAAAAATTATACGAATAAAGAAAACAAAATATGACGATTTTCAATAATTATTGTTCATCCCAAAAGGTTAAAATAATCAAAAACATATGATATTGTAGATCAAATATGTTCATCAGACTACGCTTTATTTGAATACTTTATTATTAATAGAAAAGTGACACGTTAAAAAAAAAACGGATGTACTTTTTACCTTCATATAAGAATTAAGAATTAAGAATTAAAAATTATATAACTGCTAAGAAAAGTGGGGTGATACTTTTGTACGGACTTTTAATATAACACGCAATTTATTTCATTCCGACCATTCCGACCACGGGATACGGGATGTTTGTTTACTTTGAAGATCTCGGATTATCTGTAGCACCTTTTGTTTAATGCTTTTTATATTTTGTATGAGGATTAATAAAAAGGTATCGGAAAAGTTTCTATCGGAATTCGGAATTTTGATCAATTTATATAATGTAATTTAATGTGCATATTTTTTAAATAATTTTTTTTATTAAATCTTTGTAATAATCATTTCATAATTAAATTTTTACGGAGTATTCAACCTCATACATTACGTAATTATTTTTTTTTTTATGTATAGTAGAATGGTTAAATTTTACAAAATTAGTATTCAAAATAAATACAAAGTATTTGATTATTAAAAAATATAAAGAATATAAAGAATACTCTGGGTGTTTCTGTGCCTTCTAACGTAATACATTGCTAAATTTTTACATAATCCAGAAAATGTAACCGAAAGATCGCCCGTCTCAACTGCATACACAACATTTCTGTAACTCTAACGTGGACGCCACACGTGCATTTTTAGTTATAACTAACTATTTTTCATTTTTAAGATTTTTTTTTTTTAAGTTCATTGATAAAAAATAATGAACAAATTTGAGAAACATATGAATTATTATTGAATATACTGGAATTATTGTAATTATTGAATATATGGTAAATGAAAAAAAAATAAACTTAATGCTGTTGGTAGTGTACGAGTATTATAAGAAAATAGTTATACTGTTGAAAAAAGAAAAAAAAAAGTTGATTGAGATAATCTTTTAAAGGGTAAATAAAAGATGGACGAAGAGTGTTTCTTTTTTTTTTAAAAAAAAGAAAAATATTTTTAATATTATTAATTTTTTTTTTAGGTTAAAATTAATATCGTCAAGTAAGATTTTAATGATAATGTAAATACGACTTCATGGAATAACTAAAACTTTATTCAAGTAAATATCAAAAAATATATTTTTTTTTCTAAATTATGTTTTCTTAAAAAGGGAAAGAAATATTAAAAAGATTTTTATTTTGTTGTAGGTAATTATTATTTATTGGTGCTATAATACGCAAGATAAGAGTGCGTAAATATTTAACTTTAACCCGTCGAAGTGCAATGAAAGATGTGTGGTACGTTACCTTCATTGAATTGACGAGATAAATATAGATTGGAATACTAAATTATCAAGTGTAATAGAATGTTTTACATGATCATGACTGAGATTTACGTTCTAGAAACATATTTAATAACATCAAGGTTTAATTAAATTAGTTGATTCGAATAAAGTAAGCGTATTTAAGATTCTTTAAGTTCTTTTTTTTTGCACTACCAAACTCTTCTGAATTAACATATAACTTCATCAACTTCATCAACTTCATCAGTTTTCATTAGCTTCATCAACTTCGACAGCTTCATCAGCTTCATCGGCTCCAATTTTTTCAATTTATTCAACTTCATCAGAGAAATAAAAATATCCATCTTGAAAAATATATTCTTAAGAAGGAAAGTGAGCGTTGGCGCGTTATTTTTGAATATCTTTGAGGGTTATAGCGAAGCATTGTAGAGAATGCTCCGGAAGATTACCATAAATCTTTACACGAGTGAGTAAAAAATTTTTTATTGATTATAATATATGGAAATTTATTTTTTTATTAATTTAGGAAGATGGTGCGGATAATATTAATTTTCAAGAGAATGATTTCATCGTAAATTTGAAATCTTTCAATGAGAATGACTTATCACAAATTTTACATCACAAATTTTACCACAAATATCATCGGTAGAAAGTTCTCGTGAAATCATTATTTTGCGAAAATTTGCAAGCGCTAGCAATTCTTCTAATAACAATTCGACATCAGAAATCCGGATCAAGTGTAAATAAGATGTTATTACAAGTAATTTTTAAAGGATTGAACGCTACTTATTCACGAGATTTTCACGAGATTTTCTTCATTCTTTACTTTTATGATGATGCGATATCAAAATATCTAGTGTTTCTTATCTAGTGATGCAGTTATAGTGTTGGTAATTATGGGATTTAAATCTTTGGTATCAAATTGTAGAAACTGTGATTATCATGACGCGGAAAAAGTTTATGGATGTGTAAGTAATAATTATATATCAACTCCAAGCTACATATTTTTCACTTCTTCAATAATTGATGTAACATTAAATTCTATCACTTAATATTTATATTTATTATTTAGGGATTTTTATTAGTTTGAATTTGGTACTATTGCAGTATTAATAAATCATTAAGTGTTATGAAAAGACCAAATTGGTCAAAGTGTATGGGAAAATTTCTTTGCAATTTGTTAAATTTGTTATGAAATAGTATTGAAATTAAAAAAAATATGTTCAAATTATTTATAATTGGTACGGTACAACATTATTATTGTTGAAGAATTCATATTAAAATAGATTATTTAATTGACTTTCTGTTATTATTAGTTCAGAGCGTGGCGAAGGACTGTATATGTTTTAGATGAGGTGGTACAAAAATTTCCCGTTGTCCGTATATAATTTGGTTCTTCATATGTTACAAATGTGCTATGTATGCGATCTGTTATATTTTTAGCTTTTCGATCAATAAATATTTTTTGTTCCATTTTTTATATTTTTAAATCCTTAATGTGCATAAAGTTTTTTAACCCACCTATATAGATAGAGTTTTATTATTTTCGTAAAATTTTATAGCAAATATGAAAAAAATAAATTTTTTTTTGTACAAATTACGACAAATGCGAAATAAATAAATTAAGTTACTCGAAAAAATATGATTATTTTCCTTTTTATTTGATGTTCGCTATTAAAATACATCAAAATTTAAAATATTTTATTTTTTTTTATTAAAGAAACGATATTTTTGTAATGAATTTTATAGTATTTTCTCAATTTGATTAATGATTTTTAAAAGTAAATAACAAATAGAGACTAAATTATTTGAATTGAATTTCCTTTCATCTACTGATCCAAGAAATATAAAAATGCCACCATAAAATGTGCCTCAATGGGAGAACTAAATTTTATCACAGGATCTTAAAATATCAAAAATTCAACCCTTACCTTTTTAAGGATAAAAATAATAGATAACTAGAATTTACTAATCAACAACAGTTGCAACAGCAACAAAAGTGATGTTTGCAATATCTGACTTCTTCAATATTCCTTATATCCAAGCACTTCTCATCATATCTATAATAACACTTGCATGATTACATCATTCGTCAATCGTATGGAAAGATGTTGACGAATGATGTTAATAAGTTAGCTACGGAGCATTAGCGGTGGTGTATTGTCATTGAGTGAAGGGAGAATCACTTATTTTTTTATCTGATAATAAAATTTCGCTTTTTTTATTGTCAAAATTGGTGCATTGCGAAATTATCTAATCTGCATTAAAATTCATAGAATAATCCCTGGTCCACTAAGTGTCACTCATGATCACCATACTAATTTTTAAAAATTGCGAGTTTATAAATGACCAGGAATCTTCGTTTACTTATTTCCCGGCCTCATATAGATAGCCGGGAAATTACTAATTTAGTTTAAAATAGTTAATATTTAGTGAGTGACACGCTCCAGGGGATTACCCATTTATTTCATGGGAAGCTAAGGGGAACATTATGGTTTTTTCCCTTCAGGAAAAAACCCTATTATTCCAACTCACCATGAAATAAATAATACAAATTTTAATAATTTTTATATTATCCTATACTTTAGTCCTTAATTAAAATTGTACTATAAATATGACTAAAAAATTCGTTAAAACCAGTGTTGGAATTATTCTTTAAAGCAAAAAAAAAAAAAAAAAGCNCTATAAATATGACTAAAAAATTCGTTAAAACCAGTGTTGGAATTATTCTTTAAAGCAAAAAAAAAAAAAAAGAACGCGAAACCTTTGTAAAAAAAACTTGAATATAAAATGTGCAAATGTCAAGCTACAAGGATATTTAACTGATATACACCGCAGCACTATATTTTTGTTATGTATTCTGTAATGATTCCAAGGAGTGTTATGTAGTTACATGCTAGCAGCAGTAAAGTTGAAGTTTTTGTAAATTTTTATATTATATAACTACACGTTCAAAAATTTTTAATTTCTTTGGTCGCTGACTTTTCTAGCTTTATCAGCTATTTCATTGCATACGCCTCAACTTCAAATTTTATTTATTATTACATACAAAGGCTCACTTATTCTTTCACAATCTACGCTCATTACACTTTATAGATTTAATCGTATTCCACCTATCGATAAGCTTTTGATTTTTTTTGGTACAAATTTCTTAATGTATAAAAGTTTCTTAGCGCAATGTCGGTAGTTTATAATCTTAATCACGATTTCACATTAAATTTGGAGATTTTTTCTATGATAATGACTATTTCTCACATTTTAGACTGTCATTATATGTTTAACCATGAATTATAAAAATTTCGAATACATGAAAAGCGTTCAATGTAAATTGATGATGTGCTTATTCATATTTAAATTTATTAATGACTTTGTAGCAATAATCAATTGTAATTTATCTATAACTGAATTAAAAATTATAGATCGTCATCTCTTTTTCCTACAATTAAAAATCCTATTTTATCTGTGAAATTTTCACAATTTCCTGAATAATAATGATCAAATGACTATATCTTCATTATTATAATTATTGATGTTCTATGTTTATAATGCCCATTATTATATTTATCAAAACATAGATCCTTGCAATATCGATGTCCTTCAAAAGATGACGATGATACTTCTTTTAAAAAAAGTGATATTGAGGGTGTTTCATTCATTCTTTTTTTTTCTTCTGGCTATTAGATTATAACTCTCTCTTTCAGATTTATTTGCATCATTTCAAATACTTGCGTCACAAGGTAGAATTGTTTGTTTCGCAACATCAACCAGCCCGTGTTTACGAAAAATAATAAAACAGTTCATTGACCTTTATGTCCAAAATCGTGAATTGAGTAGAGGCAAGGAAACAAGAGATTTCTGTCTAGTATTAATATCGCTTTCCCTTTCTCTTCTATCAAAAATAAATGAAATGTTAATATAAATTTATCAATAATTCTTATTAAGAATAATCATAAATTTACTTTTTGTTAGTTGGTAAACTATTTATTTCTCTAAAAATATAAATTATTATTTTAATTGGTTCAAAATATTTATTATATATTTTACAATATTTGCGGATTTAATTTCATTTTTATAAATAAGAAAATCATCAATGTCAATTTTTCACTGCTATTTATGATAACTGATATTCTTTTACATTTTTTATATCATTGAGATTGAACTGAAGGTCCAAAAATGATGTTTGTTGTTAAACAATAGCATCTAACATAAATATTTAACAATTTTATTGGCACCTTGATGTTCTTGAATCACATACGCCACAATAAGAGCTATCATGCCACCTTAGTAAGTAAAGAATTGAAATTTGCTTCTTAACCAAGGTTGATTGAGGAAATTATATAACAATCTGAGCATAATTTAAATTACCTCATAATCAATCTATCTGTTTCTTGACTGTTACGTGAAATCAGGTGATAGTCTGATGGATGATGATTAAACAATAGGAAGGATTAAATATTGTTTAGGAAGGAGTTTTTATTTTTATTAATTTAATTATTTGTATTAATAAGTTAGAAGGACCCAGAAATATATATAGGTCAGGTGATGAAAAGATTTTTTACTATGAGCTGTACGCATTTTTCAGGGCCGGAATTATGATAATGTCAGTCGGTTACTATAATAGGAAATAAATTCTGACTGGAATTATCAAAAATTATCTAAAAAAGGAATGATTTTCATGATTTTTATAGTTCAAAATACGCAAACTCAAACCTGACCCTTTTATATATATTTCTGGGTCCTAAGTTAGATATATATTTTCTTTTTCGTTCATTCCGAATGACTTCCGATTGTTGTATAAGCCTTAGATTCCCAAACTATGTTGGATGAATTTAAGTAAAATGTCGAAGAATCACCTTATCACCATCTAGATCTCTATCGATCTTAGATGAATTATAGATGATTTTTTTTACATATGTACTTGTAACGATAGAAAAGGAGAGTGTCTTGTAATTAATTAATAAAACCGATATTTACCGATTGTTCTCAAAATTTCCTTTATACACCATTCGTATATCACTTGAATTTCCATCTCAAATTTATCTTTTTCTGAACATCCCTGTATTATTACCGATTTATGTATATTTTCGTTGGGAATTGCTCGCTACAGACGTGCCGAGAGAGACAGTATCGACAGACAATTTCAAGAACCTTTATTCAACTCATTAATTTATCCCTCTATAACTTCTCGTTTATCATCCGTTCCGGTGGTAACACTATCAACATCTTATTGTATATGTTGTGATTGTAGATATTTGGAATATCTACTTAAAATATAAATTCTCCACCGCATTCTTGAGTACTTTGTGTACGATAGTAACTTACATTTATTGTTTAAAAGTAATAATGGACACTAAATATAATAAAATTTGATAATTCAATAACTGAATATCTCACAAGTTTCAAGCTAAAAAAAAATTTACTATCACATGAGTTAATAGGTCTACTCAACCTCTAAATACAAAAAATGTTTACTGAAAATTAATGTTTATTCTTTAATGTGATTTCGAAAAATTTTTCGTCTAATTTTTTTTATTTGCGGTCAACTGTAAAAAACTATTAATAATTTTATCTGCATATCAATCAAAATTCTATAAAATTCTGTAAATTATGCAAAACTTATTTCCATTTTACAGTGTTTTATTGTCTCTATTTCAGCTATTAAAATGACTTAAAATACCCATCAGAAAAATTAGAAAATAATAGAACTCATTTAGGAAACATTATTTATTTTAGAATTCTTTTAAATAGATATTTATTATAAATACATTAACAAATGTTGATTAATTGTAATCTCTATACGAAATGTAAAGATTACAAATTTAAGACCTAATAAGCATCTTGGATTCTAATTTCTTTACAAAATTTATTAAATTTGCTACATATTCTGTATATACGGATAATGAGATATTTTAACTTTTATGGATAATTAAAATTAGTTTTAATACTTTTTCCTATAATAATATTTTTAAACAATAAGTTAAATATTAACGACTTAACGTAAACATTAAACAAAATATATATAAAATAAAATAATCTCGAGCCAGATAAATATTTACTACTATTGTCATGATCAATATTTCTTTTTATTAGAGAGGTTAAAGATGTTGCACTAGGAGTCTAGGACTTAATTTTTGTGATTATTAACTAATAATCAAAAAATAAATAACGAATTGTGCCATACAATTTTTTTATTGTTATTTTGAATACCTTTTAGTGTCTATATCAAACTCTAATTCTGAAGTGGTATAATTAAAACTTGTGTTTTGTGATAACAAAATAAACGAACAAATTAATAAAATTCAAATAATTAGATGTGTCATTTAAAACTATTTGAAATACCTTTTAGTGTTTATATCAAACTCCAATTCTTTTGAGATATACCTAAAATCTAAAAAGTATAACATATAAATTATGTATATGATTTTTTAAATTACAATTAACTTTTTTCAGAATACCTTTTTTGGACGAAAATTTAGAAATTAAATCACTTAATGGTCTACTTATATAAATGGCTTTTGAATGATGTTTTACAGAAAATTTTGGCCCAATCTTTGATTTTATCAATTCCATTCTTTTTTCTGCAGCTTGATCAAATATTTAATATCACTTATAGAAGGTCTTTTTTTGGGATCAGGATCCCAGCAACTTTTCATTAAATTAGTATAACATTTATAACATTCTGGTGTATCTTCTGTAATTTCAGGTCGTAATTTTATAAATCAAATTGAAATCATGCTCGACATTAGCAAATGGTTGACAACCTGTTGTAAGTAACCACATAATCATACCAAAACTATAAATTTCAGATTCTTTTGAAAATACAGAACTATTAAATATTTCTGGTGCGATATAAGGTATTACTCCATATATTTCATTATTTGATAATGTATCATTTGCTTATCGTGATAATCCTAGATCTCCAATTTTCCATTGATAATTTTTACTACTATGTAAATCAAACAATATGTTTCCACTATGGAAGTCGATGTATAAAAACTGCTTTGTGAATCATTTCAAGTCTAAAAAAAAGAAAAGAATTAATTTCTGAAATTTGCCATAAAATAGGCGATTTTTGTTTATTCCATGTAATGTTTATAATATTCTCCTGCATATATTTATGTAAATCTCCTCCTAACGCATATTTCATAACTAATATATAATCTTCTAATACAGGGTCTTTTTTAACGCCATAAATTTCAATGATACGATCTTTATTATATTTAAAACAATGTATAGTTGATTTCAACTATTTAAACATAGATTAAATTAAACTAAAATTAAATTTATTTTAAAGAAATTATACAAGAAAATATTTACCTCATCTAGGAAATATTTGCTAACGTCTTTAGAATTTTCAAAATGACAGTTACATTTTTACTTGGCCAAGTTGCTTTATGTATAATGTTATGTACTCCTTGTGCTATTTCTTTCATTCTACGGCTAGAGTTTCGAATTGATTTATATTTGCCTCAATGTTTGAACTTCTGCATAACATTACCGTTACGCAAACTTTTTTGTATTTGCGTTACCTTCGGAAAATTTATTTTCCGGTCTCTCATAAATTCGGAAATTTAATAAAATTGATCGGCAATAACACTTAACACTTTAATTAAAAAAAAATGGAAAAAATTTTCTTGAAGGAATGGATTGACGAACGGATTAACTGTAGGGATATCAATTATTTTGATTATGATGAATTTAATAACTTAGAAACTTTATATCGAACTTCTGTGAAAAGAGCGAATTGGGAAAATCGAAAAATTACCGTAGTATTAAAAGTTTTGAATAATTCAATTATTACCGATAATGACCTTAACGAATTTATTAATAAGGTATTATTCATATATTTATATTCTTTCTATAGTAAATAATTTTAAAAACTTATGTAAATATTTGTTACATAAATTATAGTTAAAGGCTCTTCGTATGGTTTATTTTCACTCAAATATCAATCGTTTTTTTGGGATAACGAAAGGTCTGTAGCGATATATTTCTCTGATTACTAGGAACGTGTTAAAAAGCATGATACTAATCATTTGTCTTTTTTCTTTAAATAATAGACTCCAATGAAAATTATTTTTCTGTATTTGAATATGCTAACAAAGGTAGTTTGAGAAGTTATTTAAAAAACAAATTTAATGAATTGCAATGGAACGACAAAGTTCGTATGGCTCTAGATATTTCTCACGGATTAATGTGTTTACATTCAAAAAAAATAGTTCACAGCGACTTGGTAAATAGAAGATTTCAATTGATTGTTTTTTTTAACGTCAAAATTTAATATTAATAATTATTTTATTATCTTAATTTATTGTAAAGCATGCATGTAATATACTAGTTCATAACGGTAGATTAGCAATTGCAGGGTTTGGATCATTCGAACAAGCGACAAAAGCTAAATCAGAATTTAAGAATATGGTTTATATCGAACCACAGTACTTACGTAATTCAATTTATAAACGAGATATGAGATCTGATATTTATAGCTTGGGTGTTCTTTTATGGGAATTGACAAGTGGACGTCCTCCTTTTTCTAATTACTTACACGACTTAGCTCAAATAAAAAAACAACTTTTAAATGGATTAAGGGAAGATCAAATTGAAAGTACTCCTTTGGAATACGTACAACTTTACCAAAAGTGTTGGCATGATGATCCGAATGTGAGGCCTGAAATTAATGAAATTTTTAAAATTCTATCTCAATTATTATCACAATTTGATGTTAATGAAAAACATGCTCGATTAACCTATGATAAAAGTATTTCTGATGATAATAGTTATATGGAATTAGATTATAAAGAAATGCCTGGTCAATCATCATGTACTGCGAAAATTGTTGCGGAAATATTTGGAAGCTTATTGAACGAACAACAAATAATTAAACGATTTAAATTGAATCATGGATTAATTCTAACTAGGGATAATATAAGACCAAGTAAACAAGCTATTATTGCTGAAAATGGTGAGTTGAAAATTGATTTATACGAAGGACAGCCTTTAGTATACACATATATTAATTCTGAAGATAATAACGATAAGCCATTAGATATATGCATCATTTTTCCGGTTGCCGAAATGATTTATAATGGAAATTTGTTAGATTCTTATTCTAATTGTATGGATGTTGATGAAGTATTACATGAATTGTATGGTCATTTTACTGCAAGAAAATTTTTAGTCGGTAGTCGATTATTTATAAAAGATTTTAATTTAGCTACTATAACTCAAATTGATATTTTGAAATTTTATTTATATTATGTGTATCATTTGACTAAATGTTCTACGGAAATTCAATTCGGTGATTTATTCACCTTAAATCTTTTACCGAAAATTGTAACATTGGATGGAGAAGAATTGGATAGTCATGAAAAACTTACCAGATGGATGGATAATTTACATCAAAAGAAGATGATTGATATAATTTCTTACGATAATCTCACCCCTTTACAACTCAATACGCCATCAATGGATGACCTTGAAAATTTCAATGAAAAACAACCTGGAATCATCGATTTTAAAGAAAAGTTAAATTTAAAAGAATGGGTTGGTGATGCAATGCATAACAATTTAGTTGGTTGGATAAAAGACTTTCAACTTTTTCAAGGATTATTAGTTAATAAGAATTATAAAATAGTAAATAGTAAGAAAATTGTTTGTAATTTTATCAAAATCCCTGAAATCAATTTAATTGATGAATTTTATTTGGATGTAATTAAGCCAATAACTAAATTAGAACAAAGATTAGTATCACATGATATTTTTTCAATTAAAGATTTGAGCTCTTTTCCATTTATTAGAAGTCAATCAAGTAATATTAAAGGCTATGAAGGTTATAATCATATTCTAGTCAAATATAAGAAATATGAAATTCTCTTGAATACGGATTATGTAAAACCTACAAAAGAATTCGAACAAGTTATAGAAGAAGCACTTAATAGTATGAGACCCTTAAAAGCTTTACAAGATATATTTAATGAATATGGTCATTTATTTCCACAAAGAATTGTATTAGGAAAGTGCTTAAAAAATGTTGTACCGAATCCCTCTTCTTCTAATGCGTTTGGTATTGCTATTAATGATGTTAATGAAATACTAAATTTATTAAATGATTTAAATATTTCGTCCCTTTTAACACAAAAGGGGAAAATTATTGAAAAAAAAGATTTACATAACTGGATTCAGAATACTGATAACCATTTGGAAATTATTGAATTTGATAATAACATTCCTCTTTATAATATTCTTAAAGTAGAACAGCGAGAAAAAATAGATGATATATTAAGAAATAACTCTAGCCTTATAATGACAGGAATTACCGATTTGAAAGATTTAAATAATAATAATGTCAAGCATTATAAACGTATAAATTTAAATACATCATTGGAAAGTGATGACTATGAAGTATTTGGATCAATTATTTCGGAAAATAATTCAAAATTGGAAGAATTTTATGTTAATTTTGCATTGTTTGACTTCAATGGATTTTATGCAATAATAAAAAAATCAAAAGAAACAAATATTGATGTAGAAAACTGTAATATTTTTTGGATGATTATTGGAAACCCTTCAAAATTATCAGTTTTTAGTCCAAAAAATAGAAGAAATATTATAGTTAAATATTGTAAAAGATCAATCACATTACAACCTAAACAATTAAATTATCATGTTGAAATCCCCTTTCCATTATTGCAAGATGAATTCATTTTTTTTAATACAACTTCTAAAGGGTTTGAACTTAGAAGTACCGTTAAGTTAATTAGATGGAACCATAACTCTATTGATATTAATTTTGATCCTCAACTTAATAATGAAAGTAATTCTTTAGCAAATACTGAAATATCAAATAATATAGACATAAATATTTGTATTATATCTTCATATTCTGTAAATTTAAAGATTGATAATAGAAAAGAGGAATATCCTTTAAATCGAATTGGGGATGTTCTAATTGCTCCTGTAGTATCATCATTTCAAGAATTACATATTCAAAATCAAGATGAAACTCCTTCAGGAAAAGATAAGTATTCAAACATGGTAACTAGAAAAAGAAATATGAGGCATATGAGAAATATACAAAAACTATATGTTCAAGATCAAGATGAAGCTCCTTTAAGACAAAGTAAATATTCAAGCATGGTAACCGTAAGAAGAAATAAGAGAAATTTAATACACGCCATAACCCATCCAACCTATCCAATTATTGGTAATTTTGTGGACCAACTTCGTAATGGGAGTCCCTTTCTTTAGTGTATAGTTATATATGTTATGTATATTGAGTGTATATTTATTAAAATAAGAACCTACAAAGATCGAAATTTTTATTTATTCTGTTTTATTTATTTTATTTGGTCTTGAAAATCTTTACAACCTTAGATAGATTTACTACTAATTGGTAAAATTTCAAGCGATTAAATATATTAAGATATGCTTTATATTTAAATTTTACGTTCAATAAAGCAAATTTATTAAAGTTTAACCAATAATGAATAATCAGCGTGAAAAATAAATTAATTAATTGTTAAATGGGAGAGCATAGTAAACATGTAGTGTATTCATACCCTACATACATAGGTATCCATACACTACATGTTATCGTAACACCCAGTTTTATCGCTTTGTCAAAATTTCTTGTACCAATACCTTCGTTAAAACAAACCACTCCACTACGGTATGCTGGATAACATTATATTCATATTTGTTTCAGTACCTTTCCAATTCCAGCTAATATCGTACATCAAAATAAAAAATAGCTACAATACTTCCCGGCGATATTTATTCGTACCTCCACTTTTGTTATTCGTACCCCTGCAATAAAATAGTCATTTGATTGGACATTTAAATTTTACTGCGCCATTCGGAAAAAATATTTTAGCAAAATGAAAAATTAAAAAAAATAATGCAAATAAATTACTCCTATGAAAATTTATATTAATGGAATCAAACATTGATTTTTATTTTGTAAGTGGTTACATTTTTATGAGTGGATGCATCATTTATATTCTTTAAAAAGACAGGATATTATTCACTTTAATTTCTATTTAGTTGACAAGAACGAGAATTACAGTACTCTTTTGTCCACAAACTCAAATCCAGAAGGATCTCCTTGTTAAATTAAAAGGGACAGTCAATTAATCTTGTGCCTTTATGTCTTTTACGTGTTTCTTCAGTGAGACCCAAAGAGTTATTGTAAATCACAACGTAAGGTCGTAAGGTAATGTTTTCAGTTCACCATGACGATCCTTATGAGTTCTCTTTTTTCTAATGCATAACCTTGAGAATTTGGTGGAAGCATCTTAATAATTAAAGATAACAATTTTTTTTAAAAAAAATTGTTAAGACAAAGCACAATAAGATTGTAAAAAAAATCTAGATTTATTGTGGCTTTGGTCTCATAATATAAAGTTATGAGATATTTCGTATATTTTTTCCGAATGGCGCAGTAAAATTTATTAAACAATAAATGTCCAATCACATGACTATTTTATTGCGGGGTACGAAAAACAAAAGTGGGGTACGAATAACTATCGCCTACTTCCCGAGTAATAATAATTTAAGATACTAGCATCAAAAGCGTACTCAAGTGGAACTTTATTCGTGTAACAGGAATTAACGTAAATTTCCAAAGTAGTGCCATAATTCGCCGCACCGCTTTTGAGAAATTTGATCATATTTCCAATTTACATAATAACTTTCTAACAGCGATTTTTCTACACTTGACCCATTTTGACGCCTTTTTCATAACTCTTATATGGTCATTATACTGTAAATTGTACAGTACTATATCAAATTACCTAAATAACATAAAGTGGTAGAATTTAATTGTACCAATCTTGAGAATTTAAAATATATATGTAATTATGTATGTACTGTATATGTATAAGCTGTTGGGATAATTGGATTTTGTTCTTTGTTTTCCAATTGCTTTTTAAAATTTATAAATTTTTTTTGTGCTTTAGTGAATAAATATAAATTTTGTGGCAAAAGTAAAATAAAATATAAAAGAACTTCTTTATTGCGTTAATATAAAATTTAATTACAAATCAACTTAAACTCAAGAAAATAAAATTATTATGCCTAATAGACGTCATATGAAAAATTTACTCAGTAAATAAATATAGGTAATATATAAGAAAAAAGAAGAAATTGAAAAAATAGCTCAAAAAGGAGACAAAAATTTCGATATGAAATGAGGGTTTAAAATAAGCAAGTTCAAGACGAACTCATTTCAATGTTATCACTAATAAAAGGAGATTATTTATTTGAATTCAGTATGATTATAACTTTGAAACAAATTAATTAGATAATGAATCAAATTACCTTATAGAGTATACCTTACATTCAATATTATTTTGTTTTGCTGATACTTTTGATTTTTTACTCTTACAAATAAAACAAGTTTTATTATTTTTACTGCAATTGCAATCAATATATTCTATGCTAATTTGCTTGCTTCTCTGATTCAAGAAAATTGGATTATAATTATCATCTTTTGATAGATATAAACTAATAAATCTTGGATTTGGCTCTTTAAAATCAACAAATGGATTTGGATTTTTCCATCTGTTAAATTCAAAAAGAAATGATTCATAGGAATTATTAGGAGTAGTATTACTTGAAATAACGATTGTACAAAATGTAAATTTAGGTAAATTAACATAATATTTGCCTTTTAGACAATAAGAAAATGTATCTGTTCTAAATTTATTATTTGAATTAGTATTGCAAAAATTATGTCCAATAATAAGTGAATTATTTGAGGAATCCAAATTACTTAATATAGGAATTCCCAAGAAAAATTTATTTTTTGTTATTAAATCACATTCAAATTGTAATTTCATGCTATTAAAGAAACATGGACTTTCTGGAGCATAGTAGACTTCTTTATTTAAGCGAACAATTGTATCTGAAAGAATGTGGTTAAAATTTATATCATATCCAATAATCATTATATTAATTTTCAGTTGATATTTACATCGTTGAAATTTTTCTTGAATACCATGAATTATAATACTTGGTTTTGCTTTCAGTTCTCTGAAGATTTGACAGTTGAAGAAGACTTTTTTAGAATTATCATTGGCATTAACAACTGCAGCAAAGATATCACAATCAGCTTCTTCATTTAAAATAATATCTAAGATATTTTCTGGTATATTTTTTAATTCAAAATCTTCATGCCTTCCAAGTTCATATAAACCATAGTTATAAGTTTCAGTACTTGTATAAAGAATTTTCTTTCCGATAGATTTAAAGGATGCTCTACGTAAATCATCTGATAAAAGCTGAAAAATACTTACAGGATTTTTCAATTCTATGCACTCACACTTTTGATAATCATTTAAAGATTTAATCCAAGATTTTTCATCAAAATTTTCACCGTCAGGATATGTCCCTCCAAGTAATCTCATACGACTAAAACTATAAAAATTTGATTTATTATTTGAATCACTAAAATCGCCACCTATTCTACAATTCAAAGGCCCAACACTAGCCCCTGAATCACTGAAACTACCAGCACTACTTAAAAATTTACTACTTGCATTTATAGAACCTTCACCGGAATAGCCTGCAGAACTTTCTAAAGATATTTCGAAATCTTTATAATAAACCCTTCCTCCCAAAATGATTTCAGTTGGAATGAATTGACCATACTCCTTAGTAATTTTCCTAAATTTTCTAGGATCTTTGGATTTTATAGCATCATTGATGTCATTTTCAAAGTCTTCAGTTAATACTAAATTTTTTTTATTAAATTTCAGCAATAACTTGCCAAGTTCCGTATATTGATATTTTAGTTTAATTTCATTATTAAAATTTTCATCTCTCAATCCTTTTATTGATATTCCTAAATTTACAAAACTCATTATATTAGCATCATCTCCTTCAGTAAACAAATTAGTTTTCCTCATCCAATCTTCTTTCGATTTAAATTTGAGTTCTCCTTTTTTATATCCTTTAGTAGTATCAATTTCAGTTAATTCACAATCTTTCATTATAAATGCTCTATTATCAGCTTTCTTTATTCCATCAAAACTCATGGTACACCCATAATCTAGTTTACATTTTTCATTTAAAATTTTCCAACTCGGTCTTGAATTTTTTATTAAATATAAATAATTACATGAATTAGCATTATCTATAATTTCTTTTAAAAGTAATTTTTCTTCATATTCATGTAATATTTCAGAAAATTCATTTTCAGATTTTTCAGATTTTTTTGAGAACAATAACGTATCATTAATGATATTATACTTTTCAAGCTCTTTACGAATGTTGGACAAATCATCTGTTAAACTTAAACGATATAGTTTAGGGGTTTGTTCGTCTATAGTTTTAATAAATACAATGGAAGACATTAAGACGTTTTAAGAATGAATCAACTATTCATCCATGTTATACAAAAAAGCACAAATCCTTATATATCCGTTAAGAACTTAATTTCTGGTGATCGTAACGTTACATCAATGTTACATTAATTACGTTACATCAATTACGTACGTATTGTACTATATATAGATTAAAAAAAAAAATAGTGTAACTCACGATCGGCAAATAGTCTTTTATATTTTTTTATGTTTATAAAAAAAAACATGAAGCAGTGGATTGACCAAAGAGTAAACGATGGATGTATTAATTATTTTGTTTATGATGAATTTAATAATCTAGAAACTTTATGTCAAACTGTGAAAAAAGCTAATTGGGAAGATCGAAACATTACCGTTGCGTTGAAATTTTTGAATAACTTCAATATTCCTGCTGATAGCGATCTTAAAGAATTTATTATTAAGGTATGAATAAAGTTTTTTTTTTTTTTTTTTTTTGTTTATTTTTAAAAAAAAGTGCAAATAAGTTTAAAAGCTTACAAATACATTATATTTACTATATAGTTAAAAGCTCTTCGTATAATTTACTTTAACCAAAACATTAATCGTTTTTATGGAATAACGAAAGGTTTACAAAACCCATTTCTTTATATTACTAATGGCGTGTTAAAAATTGCAAATTTAAATCAAAATTTCATTATTTAATTAATAGACTCCGATGGAAATTATTTTTCGATATTGGAATACGCTAACGAAGGGAACCTGAGAGATTATTTAAAAAATAAATTTAGTAAATTACAATGGGACGATAAAGTTCATATGGCTTTAGATATTACCGGAGGATTAATGTGTTTACATTCCAAGAAAATTATTCATGGAGATTTGGTAATTTAGGATTTTAATTTGTCGTTATTTTCTGTATCACCATTTAAATATTAATTATTATTTTACTTATTATTAAGTATGCACATAATATTTTAGTTCATCATGGTGCATTAAAAATTGCAGGATTCGGATTATTCAAGCAACTGGAATCTACATTAGCATCTGAAAATTTAGTTTATGTTGAACCACATTACCTTCGTGATAAAAGTTATAAGCGAGATATGAAATCTGATATTTATAGTTTGGGTATTCTTTTATGGGAATTGTCAAGTGGTCGTCCTCCTTTTTCTAACTATGTACATGATTTAGCTCAATTAGGGAACAAAGTTTTAGTTGGATTAAGAGAAGATCAGATTGAAAATACACCTTTGGGATACGTGCAGCTTTACCAAAAGTGTTGGCAAGATGATCCAAATATAAGACCTACAATTAATGAAGTTTATAATATTTTATCTCACTTAAAATCACAAATCAACAAAACCAAAAATGAGCATCATATGGACTTAGAATATAAAGAAATGTCTATTGCAGAAATATTTGGAAGTTCATTAAATAAACAACAAATAATTGAACAATTTAGGATAAATCATGGATTAATTTTAACTGGTGAAAGTATACGACCAAGTAAACAAGCTATTATTTCTGAAAATGGTGAATTAAAAATGAATGTATACGAGGGGCAACCTATAGTATATACGTATATTAATTATGAATGTGATAATGATGAGTCATCAGATATATGTATCAATTTTCCAATTGCTGAAATTATTTACAACGGAAATTTGCAAGAATCTTTTTCAAAATATATGGATATCGACGATGAACTATATGAATTGTATGGTCATTTTCTTGCAAGTAAATTTTTAGTCGGTAATCAATTGTTTATCCAAGACTTTAATTTAGCTAATTCAACGCAGAGGAATATATTAAAATTTTATTTATTCCATGTATATAATTTGGCTAAATGTTCTGCGAAAATTCAGATGAATAGTATATTTACTTTGAATCTTTTACCAAAAATAGTAACATTGGATGGGAAAGAATTAGATACTCATGAAAAATTTGTTAAATGGATGAATGAATTGCATCAAAAGAAATCTTTATATTTATCTTCTTATGATGATCTTATTCCTATTTCTCAATTAAGATCGTCATCAATAGATGAATCTGATGAATCTGAAATTTTTAACGAAAAACAACCCGGAGTGGCTGATTTTAAAGAAAAGTTAAGTTTAGAAGAATGGCTTGGAAATGCGATTCATAATAATCTAATGAGTTGGGCCAGAGATTTTCAACTTTTTCAAGGATTAAAAATTAATAATAATTATAAAATAGAAAATAGCAAGAAAAATGCCTTTGACTTTATCAAAATTCCTAAAGTCAATTTACAGCATAAATATTGTTTGAAAATAATTAATCCACAAACAAAGTTGGGAGAAAAATTAATATCAAATAATATCTTTACGTATAAAAGTACCACACCTTTTTCATTTATTAAAAGTAATGATGAAAATTGTGGAGAATATAATCATGCTCTAATTAAGTGTGAACAATATGAAATTCTCTTAAATAAGAATCATATAAAACCTACAAAAAAATTTGAAGAAGCCGTAGCAAAAGCACTTAATAGTATTAACCCGGTAAAAGATTTACAAAACATATTTAATGAATATGGTCATTTATTTTCACGAAGAATTGTCTTAGGAAGGTCTCTTAAAAATATTTTTCCGAATATTTCATCATCTAATACGTTTAATGATTCTAATGGCATTAATGAAATATTTGAATCATTAAATAAATTAGATATTTCATATTTTTTAACACAAAAGGGGAAAATTATCGAAAAAAATGATTTATTCCATTGGATTCAAACCACAAATAATCACTTGGAGATTATTGAACTTGACGATATTATTCATCTCTACAAAATTCTTAAAGCGGAGCAACAAAAACAAATAGATGATATATTGAATAACAATTTTAGAATTATATTGACAGGAATTACTGATTTGAAAGATTTAAATAGTAAAAACGTTGAGCATTACAAACGTATTAATTTAGAATCGTCATTGGGAAATGAAGATTATAAAGTATTTGGATCAATTATTTCCGAAAACAATTTAAAATTAGAAGAATTTTATGTTGATTTTGGATTATATGACTTTAATGGATTTTGCGCAATAATAAAAAAAATAAAAGAAACGAGTATTGATGTAACGAAATGTAATGTTTTCTGGATGATTATTGGAAATCCTTTAAAATTATCAGCTCTTAGCCCACATAATCGAGATGTTTTAGTTAAATGTTTTAAAGGATCAATATCATTACAACCTAATCAATTAAATTATCATATTAAAGTTCCTTTTCCATTACTGCAAAGAGATACTATTTTTTTTAATGCACCTTCTAAAGAATTTGGACATGGAACTATCGAATTAATTAATTGGACATATGATTCTATTGATATTAAGTTTATATTATTTAACAATAGTTATGACCAACCTAATATAAATAATATAGACTTAAATATTTGCATTCTATCTTCATATTTTGAAAATTTAAATATTGATAACAGAAAAGAGGAATGTTCTTTAAACCTAATCGGAGTTATTTTAACCGAAAGTCTTTTTACCCAGCAAAAAGAAGAATCAGATGTTAATTATATATTTATTAAAACAATAGGAAAACCAACTCCTAAACTAGATCGTTTAAATCTAACAGATAATTTATCTAATATTCGTTTAGAACTTATAAAGCGTAATATCATCGATGAAACACTAGCATTTTCTAAAAAAACTCCTGAAAATGAATTTGCTGAAATAGAACGTGAGAATGAAGAAATATTTTTCCTAAAAAATATTATAGATGATGTTAATTCATGCTATTTTTTATATTTAATAAAAAATTCAAGACCGAGTTGGAAAATTTTAAATGAAAAATGTAAATTAGATTATGGGTGTACCATGAGTTTTGATGGAATAAAGAAAGCTGATAAGAGAGCATTTATAATGAAAGATTGTGAATTAACTGAAATCAAAACTGGAGGATATGAAAGAGATAAACTTGAGTTTGAATCAAAAGAAGATTGGATGAAGAAAACAAATTTATTTATTGAAGGAGATTGCGATGACGTTAATATATTGAATTTTGTAAAATTAGGATTATCATCAATAAAAGGATTGAAAGATGAAAATTTTGATAACGAAGTTAAGTCAACTTATCAATATACGGAACTTGCCAAAGTGTCGTTGAGAGTTAGTAAAAAAAATTTAGTATTAACTGAAGACTTTGAAAATGACATCAATGATGCTATAGAATCCAAAGATCCTAGAAAATTTAGGAAAATTACTAAGAGATATGGTCAATTTATTCCAACTGAAATTATTTTGGGAGGAAGAGTTTATACTAAAGATACCAAAATATCGTTAGAAAGTTCTGCAGATAATTCTATAGAAGGCTCTGTAAACACAAGCGTCGGTCCATTAAATCTTAGAAGTGGATACAACTATAATAATTCATGTAAAAAGTCAAAATTTTATAGCTCTAATCGCATGAAAATACTTGGGGGAAGGCATCCTAATGATGAAAACTTTGATGAAAAAACTTGGATTGAATCATTAGAAGATTATCAAATCTGGGATTGTATAGAATATAAAGATCCCATCAGTATTTTTCAATTTTTGCCTGATGATTTGCGTAAAAAAACCATTGAATCTATTGGGAAAAGAATTCTTTATACGAGTACTGAGGATTATGATTATGAGTTATATGAACTTGGAAGACATGGAATTTTCGAATTAAAAAATTTGCCAAATTTGCCAGATAATATCTTTAATGAAGAAGCTGATAGTGATGTTTTTGCAACAGTTGTTGATACTGGCGAGGATTCAAATAATGTTTTTTTTAACTGTCAAATTCTCAAAAAACAAAAAGCGAGACCCAGTATTATAATTCATGGTATTATTCAAGAAAAATTTAAACAACTTAAATATCAATTGAAAATTAAAATAATGATTATTGGATTTGATATATATTTTAATCACATCCTTTCTGATACAAGTGTTTTCTTATATAAAGATGAATATAAAACAAAAAGTTCATGTTTGTTTGACAGTATGAACTACAAACTTGAATATGAATTAATAACAGGAAATATCCCTTTCTTAGGAATTCCTATATTAAATAGATTGGATTCTTCGAATAATTCCATTATTATTGGACATAATTTTTGCAATATTCAATCTAATAATAAATTTAGAATAGACACATTTTCTTATTGTGTAAAAAACAAACGTTATGTTAATTTACCTGATTTTTCTTTTTGCATACTTATTATTTCTAATAATACTACTCAATCATTTCCTTTTGAATTTGGCTGGTGGAACAAACCATATATTAATTTTAATGAACCTAATCCAAGATACGTTAGTTTATATTTAACAAAAGATATTAATTATAGCCCAATTTTTTTGAATCAAAAGAGCAAGCAAATTACTATAGAATATGTTAAATGTGATTGCGACAATACTTGTTCTATTTGTAAGAATAAAACATTAAAAATAACGGCCTACCAAAATGATGCTGAATGTAAAGTATATTCTATAAGTTAAATTCAATTTATCATTTAACTAATTTAATTTGTTTTGAATATTATAAATACACTAAAATAAGATAATTTTCTATTATTAGTGATAACATTGTGATAATTTGAATGATATGAACAATATATATATAATTTAGTATTATTATTTTATTATTATATACTGTGTATTTTTATATTTATCAATAAAAAGAACATTTTTTGTAATTATAATGGGGTTTATTTTCTGCGCACCCGCGTAAAATGTAGGAGATGTTATGTATAGTTGCGATAAATAGCGAGAAAAATTCTGTTCCTAGAATAAGCAGTAAAATGAGGGCGTGATGCATTGTTACATCGTACCAACTCCAGCTAATCTGAACTCCGCTGTCAATGCTGATGTACACAGGATACGTAAAATATAAATCGGTTTTCTATAAACATTATAAATAATCAGTTAAAAATTGTATATTTTTATTTGGTTATCGAAGATATAAACAAATATAATAAATTATGCATTGAGTTTACTTAAAAGACTGTTAGTTCTAACCAATTTTCCACCAAGATATCTATTTTTCTCATATCCTTGCTCGCAGGTCAACTACACGCAATTATTTACTGGGATAGTATATTGAGCCAATCTTTTCAGTATTTTAAAATCGTCAATAATTACCAAAATAACTACTAATTATTATAAATAAATTACTGATTCCTCGTTACTTTTTTCATCATTACATACGGGAAGGACACATTTAGATTTGCAACGAGCGGACTAATGGGTTCAAAAATTTCCATCAAGAATTATTTTTGTATTTATAATTCAATTATTTTATCAAATCGAATGGTGGTGGTTTTATCTTTCTACGATCATGGGACGCTAATATTTGACAAAATGTTAAAGTTCAGCATTTTACAGTGCTGTTTAATGTTTTCCGAATAAATCGGCAACCATTGATCGTAGAAAGTCGCGACATAGCTTTTAACTAAACAAACATAAAAGGGATTTTTTTATTAAAACCTTTGCTGAAATGTATTAAATTGTATCCGAATAGTAAACAAATCGTGACCAAATCGTGCAATCAATTGTGAGCTTCCAGCAATGAGTTGGATACGATTTGATGGACAATTCGTCTACATGCAGTTGCTGCGCATTAAGACGATCGCTCGGATTCGCTCGCTAAATTATTGGTAGTACAGACAATTTATAAAATATATTTTTTCTTGGTTAATAAATCATTTATCCGAAATGGTGACGATTTATTAAAGTTTTATTAGGCGAATCATTGAGGATTATCAAAATTGAAACTAACTTGGAAAATGTTTAAAAACATGCGTTGATAAAATAATAAAAATTTTAAACAATTGTGACGACTGTAACGTATGCCAATTAGATCCCACATTGAGAATCACATAAAAAAAGAAAAATAAGAACTGTTAATAACAGTTCGTTAAAATGAAATTTAAAACTAAAAAAAACACCAACCAAGTCCGTGTGTGATGAATACAAACATTTTCACGAGGAGAACTAGTCCGGAACCCATGAACTGACTGTTCTCTAGAAAAAAAAGATATTAAAGAATGTTAGGAACTAACATTCTTAACGAAAAAATAAAATTCCTCTTCCCCCAGCATACCTTGCATCTAATTCGTTTTCAAAGGTCCAGGAAACCGTTCTCTAGAAAAAAGATAGAGAAGAAAGTTAGTAAACGTTCATAATAAAAAAATTTTAAAATTCTTTCATTGGCATATCTTACGTCCATTTCACCTTGAAACTTGAAAGGACCAGAGAGCCATACTCTTTATAAAATAAATAAAAAAGAACGTTAATATACGTACTTAACGAAAAAAATGCAAATTTTTACTAGAAAACATTCCAAAACCTACCTTTCAAAAAGTTCCTAAACTTGTTTATATTAAATTTTTTTTTTAAAAAAAAATTTTTCGTAAAAATGGGGTTTGATGAAATATTCATCCAGATGAATGGATAAAAGATATTCAAAATATAATAATATTTGGAAAAATAATTATGGAGGATTTTTAAATACTGCTATACCATTAATAGATCCTACCATCAAACTTCCAAATGAAATTAATGATTTGAAAATTTTCGTAATGCACTTAAAGAAGATGTCTCTTTCAAAGTAATTAAAATTCCCAATAAGAGAAAATTACAGCCATTAAAATATAATCCTAAAAAAGATGACAAAAATTCAAAATTTATTTAAATTATGTTATAACGCAGAAATTAATGATATAGAAGAACAAAAGAAATATCTTTATAAATCACTTCCAACTGATAATAATTATTCTTATTTTTTAACATAATTTCATAAGAGAATGGAAAATGTTAACTCAATGGGTTAATTAATTAAAGAATTTGAAGAGATAAATATGGACGAAGCAAATCTAATTAAACATGAATCAACTGTAAAACATGTTCCTACAGGAAATATTTAACATCCGTTTTAGATTTAAATTATACGACTGGGAGCAAGAATCAATTGGTATACAGTACAGTACATCTTTTATCGTATAAATCTATTAAATAAAAGTATAATTTTTAAACATTTCTTTTTTAAACGAACAATTTAGGTTTTTGTGGGAAATTCGAATCTTGATCCGAATGCTTTGTGGACCATTAGATTTTTTAATTTAAATAATGCTAATAACAACTAACAAGGCATTAGCTTTTTACACCGAAACTAGTAATTATGGTAATAATCCACCTAGGTATAATTTATCTCCATCATCAAGTAATTTAGAAGGTAATTAAATATATAATATAGTTTCGTTTTTAAGGTAATAAAGAGGTAATTACCAATGATTTGTTTTTTATAGTGAGTTGTAAACTTGTAATATACGAAATTGTCATGATGGAAGCTGGGAAATTAGTCATAGTAAATTAGAAAATCATCAAGGTTATTTAAAACTATTAATCTTAACGTTAATAATTTTTAAAAATGGTTTATATAATGGTCAGTTAGATTTTTACGTAGTCATGATATTCAATTCACTATTGAAAATGATACTTTTCAGGAAGTCATCTATCATAATGAAACAGTGGGGGAACGATGAATGATTTATTGAACTTATTAAAAATTTCAATAGTTAAAGTTTGTGATTAGTGCAACCTATATACACTGTGTATATGTATATATTACTATACGACTAATACGAGCTATTATATGTTAACAATTTGATAGAAATAAAATCAGTCTAATATGGTAATAATTAGTTAACAAAAAATAATAAAATACATGTCGGCTGATTGCCTTAATTGTTTCCCTAAACTATTAATATTACGTAATCTGATTCTCTAAAAACTCTAAAAAAATTTCTTTTTTTATGCGTTTAAGCCCCCTTTTCACTATGTAAAATCGCGTCTAAGCCGTCTAACCCTCTTTTTATTATTATGTAAATCACGTCTAACCCATTGTCCCTCTTCCTAACCCATTGTCCCAAGTACTATGATTCGATTGATCCGTCAAAATATTTATTGTTTATAACAGATGGGACACTTAACCATTGCTTCTTTTGGTAAAAAGATAGTTGAAAGTGAAATAAGTTTCTAGAGTATTGATGCGAGTATATATATAATAAATGTAAAGTGGTAATAAATATAAACACCAGAAGTATATTTAAGTGGCGTAGTTTAATTTATTGATATGACGGTCCCTCTTACTGATCGCAAAAATATCCCCAAAATTTTAGGGACTATCCTCTATCGGCCGATATGAATATGTATTAAATTATATTTATAATATTAGAATGATATAAATTATATTTACTATTTATATTAATGATTTGGTAGAATGAAATTTGGATTAATTAAGGAATTGTGAAAAAAAATAATTATCAATAAAATTGATTGATTTTTTAGAAGTATTTTCGAAAAAACTTTAATATTATGAAAATACTACAAATATTTTTATTAATTAATTATAAATTTTATAATTATTTCTTATTATTTTATACTACGTCAAACTTATTTGAGCAATTAAATGTATTAGAATTTCATTTATTATTATTCTTTTGTTACTCATTTTACTCGATAAATTATTAATTTAACTAAACCATTTAAATTAAAAATCTTAATTCAAAAATCTGGTGATTATTTTGGTTATAATAATCTATATTATTAAATCAATTTTTTTTGATTTTCACGAATTTGAAAATCAAACTATTTTTATCCAGCGTTCAATTTAATTTAATTAATTTAATTGAAAAATCTTAATCATCTTTCTGTCGACGTTCCTACATGTTATATTGATTTTTTTTAAATAAAAAATAATTCTGTAAATATATTTAATATAATATTTTATTTCTTATTTAAAAAATTAAAAAAAAAAATTGGGGAAAGAAAAAGGATAAAGAAAGAAATCAGTTTAAAAAAAGGGAAATTTCCGAAAAAAAAAGGAATCCAAAAAAAAAATAAGTACCGGAAAAAAAGGGTCCAAAAAAAATTTTTTTCGGTTTGAAAAAAAAAACTAAACCAAAAGAAGAAAAGGGAGAAAAATTTTTTTTTCAGTTTAATAAATTTAACCGAAAAAAGCGGACAAAAAAAAAATTAATAATCAAAAAAATAAAATCCCGATTAAGGTAAAATTTCATTGATTTGATTGGAAAGCACGCGGATCAAAATAGTTTTTGACCATAAATAGATCAGGCGGAGGCATGTCACGGGTTTTAATTATATGATATGGATTTCAAGTTACACCATTTAAATTATTTATGCAGAGACTAATCCAAACGTCTAAATTTAAACGATAATTTTAAATTCTTTTATTACCTACGACCTATGTATAAAGATTTTTCGCCTTGATACTCAATAATTCTCGCTATATTTTGTAGATTCGGGCATTCGGCGCTGAAATTAAAGTTTTTAAACTTTTAATGAACTTTCCGGAAACTTTGTTATAATGTTGAACCAATGTTGATAAATTATATATAGACAGTTTGATTCGAATTCTTTATATTTAATAAATTATCAGTTAATATAATTTTATACCAAACGGATAATTATTTTGTTTCAATATCTAATATTACCAATAATTTCATCGGTCGGTCACCATGATGTATTTGTACTAGTGACCGTTTGCCTGTATTGAATTTGTTGAAAAAATGTCAAAAATTTAATTTATCGAAATAAAATGCAATTTTATCTTTTAAAAGCTTATCCGTTTAAACAGCTCATGCCCTAGATGAGTAGATATCCGTTAATTCCATTAATTCAAAAAAATTTGGTATATCGTTACGTTATTTTATGGTTTATATTCGAACTAGTTTTTTTTAATCATAGTTCCGCCCATAAAATTTATAAAATTTTAAAATGGCTCGTATCACATTAAAACCTTCGTATTTTTTGTGCGGTACCGATTTTAGCATAAAAACGCTGTGTAGCTGCCACGTATATAGAATAACTTTTATTTATTAGCTATATGATGTTACAATGTAAAGTTAAAGGTGCGGAAAAAATGAAAATTTTTTTGAGCGTCTGTACTAATTTGTATTACCGCACTGTACTAATTTACTATATACTCTTTTTAATTGTAAGATAAAAATTCCTACAAAATTTTTTTGGGGCCGTTCTTTAATTGGTAAAATTTTTATAATTATATAAGGAATTACTAAGAAAATTTTCTTCATATTAGAATACGCAATACTTTGTATAATTTATCATATGTCCTTTTAGTTTCCACCTTTTTTTTATATGAATTAATCCATAGGTATACTAAATAAAGTACTTTATTTTAAAAAAAATCTTGCATTTTTATTGTTAAAAATGTTTTTTTATGTACGCAGCAAATACAATTTGAAAGAAATTAAAAATAAAAAAAGGATGAATTTTCATTGGTTAGATTACAAGATCGCGTTTATTTGTTTTGCCGCCAAGGGTACAGTCTGCACCACATCATCGGCCCGCATACCCATTCCATTCATCTAATGCACAATTTAAATTTTTTACGTTAATACTTTTTATTTTTTAGATGATTTGTCCTTCAGTATAAATATTTGTCTAGATTTTGTTCCTTTCTTGAAGTAGGAACATTTTCTTCAAGTTTTTCAACATCACCAGGAAAGAAAATGAAATCACATCTAATTTTTGATGTATCACTATTAGGAGTACGATAAGTAGGACGAAATTGCTATTCAACTGTATTATTACGTTTAAATATTATTATCCCTATTTTTATTAAAGATTCCCAATAGAGAATGATCCAACACTTCAGAATGTTATGCTTTCTCTTATTTTTTTCAACATCCTTCTTAAGATTAAACATACTTAAACTGTGACGTTTGTTACGTTTAGAAGACTTCTTTATTATCCTCAAAACTGATTTTTTTCGTCTCATCAACAAAAGAAAAAGTCGAAGAGGAATAATTATCCTTTGATGTTTCAGAAGAATTATCAAGTATTAACTTCTTCTTAATTATTATTATTAACGTTAGTTTTGTTTTTTAGAAAAAATAATAGAAAAAGAAAGAAAGAGAGAATTGACTCTTGTATATAATTGTTTTGTTTCGTTGTTTTTTTTTTTGGTTCAAAGAACAGAGAAAGTTAAAGACATAGAAGGTATGATGATAAAAGATTGGAAAGTAGATAAGAAAATTTTACGAAATTAGTGAGGAGAAATATGAAGAGTTGGAGGGTTTTTATATTAATAATGAAGGATGAAATAAATATGATTGAAGTGTTTGCTTGATGAATGGTTGAAAATGTCGGGCGAAAAGATTTAATTTTTATGCAGATGCTTCGTTAAAAAATAGTAATAGAAGAATAGGGTGGGTGAGAATAGATAAAGAAGGAAAATAATAAAATATTTAATATTAAAATTGTAAATAATATGGACGTATACGAATTAGAATCTTTAGCAAATGTATTAGTGTTACCAGTGTATCCGAGCGATAGTAGAGTAGAAATTCATATTGTAAAATTCAGGCGAATTCCAATATCATGAGAAATGAAGTAGTGCGAAACTAAAACGGCACAATATTAAGTTTATTATACCATATTTTCAAAAATTATATAGTGCCATAATGTTTAATAAGTAGGATTCTAGGAAACGGGAACTGTTGTAAGTCCCGGAGACGATCACGTGGAGGACAGAGAAATTCACGTGATCGAATTTTTTTCATAGTGCGTAGACATATATTGTCCTTCGCTTCGCTCCGGACAATAATAAAAAAAAAATATAAGTGGAATAGAACATCAGAATAAATGTTTATTGTTACGTACTGTTAAATTTTTTACCGTTATTCAAAAACTTGTTGGAAATATCGTCATTATCAGTGCCGGGTTAAATGAGTTAAATAAAAAATGTGTTGATATCAATATCACAAAGCCACATTGCAAAATTTCCAAATTTTAATTACGATCAAAAAATTCTGGTAAAATTGGGAGACATGAACCGTTTGGCTTCTATAAACAGATTTGTCATTATTACATATATCTAAGTTCTACCATGAAAGTAGCCAACTGTACTAACCAACCAACGAATAATATGGTCTTGATTCCATAAACACACTTTGGATTGTGCGAGCAATTTCTTCTAAAGCATCTATGTTGAAATCTTCATTATCAAAACCCTTATATTTTTATGATGCAGAAGAGAACAGACGATAGATTGGCTTATTTAAAATGAATTGTTATTTTTTATTCTCTTTCGTTATTATTTGTTTATTTTTGTTGTTGTGCAATATATATTTGCTATATTTAAGATTTCAAGAACTTTTTTTCTATTAATTAATGCCTACCAAATAAAATAAATTAAATAACTAACATTATGAATTTATGATGTAAAATATGAGTGAATGCTTCATTTACTTCAAAAGATTCCACTCATTTGAATTTCATTGAATAGATTAACCAATGTTAGAAACCGATATAGAATAAATTTGTTAATAACCACCTAACGTTGCGTAAACTTTGCTATATTTTCTCATATATTATAATTTTGATTGGTAAAAAGATCAAGTTTTATTATATTTCGTTATACATACTAACATACGGTCATAAAACGGAAACTATATTATTGCGCAGTCAAACTAAAGATTGTGATTAATTTTTTTTTTTTTATCAATCAATATATGGAATATTGATTATTTTACTACGTTATTGCTCACCTTCTAGATAATTTGTATTAAAATTTCAACTCCATTCGGTTAAAACAATTGATTTTTAAATTTATTTAAATTACTTAAGTTTTTGTATATAATTTACTTCACATATCTATAAGCCGGTAATACGATTATTTATTTTTTTTTTCATAAATTAGTTTTGACTAAACAAAATCTTCGGCGCAATAAAAATTAGTGTTACGTTGTATGTTACACGTTCTAATACATAAATCGAAAAAAAGAAATTTTTTTCCCGGGTAATTAATTAGTTTAACAAGTTTTTTTTTTTAAAAAAAAAATTTTAAAATAAAAAAAAATAACAATAAATTTCAAACTTATTATCAAATTATGGGATCTTATGGAATTTGTAAAGAATGTGAACAAGAAAATACTGGATATCAATGGTGTATAACATGTAATTCAAACCATTTTCAAAAATTGGACTGGTGATGATGATATTAACAAATTAATTCAAGAAACTAAATTATCAGCAATTAATCATTATAGAGTATTAAAATGGATACCATACAATAAATTTTATGATATTGAATATACTGCAAAAGGTGGTTTTGGAAAATATATAAAGCAAAATGGATTGACGGATATATTCATCATTGGGATGAAAATCAAATGGAAAAGATTTAATTCCAATGAGATTGTAGCATTAAAAAGTTTAAATAATTCAGAAAATGTTACATTTTAATTTATAAATGAGATACAAATTAATTTTTTTTTTTATTTAATAAATTTTTAAATGTTATTTTATTTATGGATTTTTGAAAAAATTTATATATATTTAGATTACAATGCATTGAAAAGCTATTAAGTTTCTTATATTTCTTTTATTGTTAGAGTTTATGGAATTACACGAGATCCGGAAAAAAAAAATTATATGATGGTTTTGCAATATGCGGAGGTTGGAAGTTCACGAAATTATTTAAATAAATATTATAGTAAGTTAGATTGGACAACTAAACTTTTTTATTTATGGCATATTGCATATGGACTTGAAACAATCCATGAAAGGGAACTAATTCATCGAGATTTACATATTGGTAACATACTTGAATTTATCGGATGCACTTCTATAACTGATATGGGATTATGTAAACCCGCAGATTATAATTCATCCGAAAACTCAAAAAATAGAATTTATGATGTTTTACCTTATGTCGCTCCTGAAATTTAAGAGGACAAAATCATACTAAAGCTACTGATATTTATAGTTTTGGGTATGATGAAAATTTAGCTGTAAAAATTTGTCAAGGACTTAGACCAAGATTCAATAGTATTAAAGTGCCCCAATTAATTGTGCATTTAATTAAAGATGCTTGGATGCAAATCCATTAAATCGACCAAAAGCAAGAGAAATTAGTGATATTTTAATTAAATAGAATGAATATGATAATAATCAATCATAAATGGGAAAACAAATTAAAGCAGAAGAGATCAATAATAATTTGCCAACTAGTAATATGTCTTCGGTTAGTTTATCATATTAAATACATTCAGAAGCTGTTTATACAAGTAGATTACTTAATTTTAATAATCAAAAAATTCTGATGATTATTATGAACAAAATGATAATATAATTAGTGAGAAATTTTCAGGTAATATTTTTTTTAATATTTAAATATTTAATAATTATAAATATACTAATGAATTTTATTCAATTAAATAGAAAATTTACAAATTGATCTTTCTCAATTGTAGAGTTTTCCTCAAACGGATAATATCCTAGGATTATATCCGAATATTTTAGGATAACAGGTGTATCCGGATAAATGTTAAACGGTTATCCGGATGTAGTTCACGAAATGGATAATCCTATAGGATAATCCGGATTATCCTAAGATTGCTGCAGATACTATATAATAATTAACGTGTGAAAATATCATAAATGATTAACAAGACTTCCAGTCTTCCACTTTAATCTTGTTTATAGAAAGAACAAAGAAAGAGAAAAGTTGAAATTCATTATAAAATCCAAATATGTCAATTGAAAGAACTTCAAAAAAACATTCACGGTCTGAAGATGATACCCATATTGAATTTATTGATATTATTGATATAGAAAAACTCACACCCGATGATGCCAATAATGGAACTTTAAATGAACATATGAAAAATGCATTTGACGAACTTCTTAATAATAAAGAAGAATCTGATTCATTGAAAAGCAAAGGAAGTTCAAAACTCCGCAGCTGGATATATAATTGGGGTGAACGGATAAATCATCCAACAGACTCAAAAAAATTTATATTTGTGTGTAATCAAAAATTAGATGACGGTGAAAATTGTACTATGAGAATTGAAACATTGGGTTCAACTGGTAATATTATCAGTCATCTTGGACGAAAACATAAAATTTATGAACATTCTATAGCTACAACACCATCTCAGAAACAAACAAAAATTAGTAATTATACTGTTTCATCTATTTCATCTAATTCATCACAAATAACACAAGATCAACAAAAATATTTGGAAACTCTTCTTTTTGAATGGCTTATTTTTGATTTTCAACCACTTTATCTTTTAAATCTCCTTCTTTTCGTCGATTTATTAATGCATTAAATAAAATTTTGAACTTCCAACAGATAAAGAATTTTGAAAAAAATTTTTTGAAGCATATGAATTCACACAAAAGCAGCTTAAGCAATATATTTATGAAAATGCAAGATCAGTTTCACTTACTTGTGATCTTTGGACTTCTCGCAATAAGCAAGGATTTCTTGGAGTTACATGCCATCTCATTACATCTAATTTTGAAATGAAGGAAATAACTTTAGCAATTCGATATATTCCATACCCACATACAGGGGATAATATTCAAAAATTATTAGAGGAAGTAATTTCCGAGTGGGATTTGCAAAATAAAGTTTTTTTTGTACCACCGATAATGCATCCAACATGAAGAAATGCTTTAATCAAATCTCTCAGATCCAGAGATTGTCATGCACCGCACATACCATTCAATTGGTTGTTGGAAAAGGACTTCTTGCTGCTGAAATTCTAATTGCACGTGCAAAAAGGTTGATTAACTTTTTTACTTCACCAAAACAAAATGAGCGCCTTATTAATGCACAAAAAAAAAATTCTGATGATATAGAAGAAGAAAGTAATTTGCATACAGTTTTTTACAGAGCAATTACAGATGTTGAAACACGTTGGTCAAGTACATATATAGCATGGGAAAGGTTAACAATCTTAAAACCTTATATTGATATTGTTATTTCATCATTAAATGCAAGTAAAGATCCAAACTCAAAAGAAGATGCAAAAAGATTAATGAAAATTAATCACACTAATGATGAATGGGAAATTATTGGAGATTAGCTTGAAGTTCTAGGACCTTTTGCTGAATTAACAGAAAAGTTAGAAGGTACAAAATATGCAACAATGAGTTATATGTATCCAGGTATTGCTAAACTTAAAAAACGTTTTCGCCCAACAACAGAATTTAACAATAATTTGGATTTAGAAACAAATAATCATGCATTTGAAGAACATCAATTTGAAGAAGCTGATGAAGATGATGAACCTGGAGCTAGGCGAAAAATTAAAATCAATACTCCTGTTAATACCCACAGGTCTTTTAGATAATATTAAAGCAAATCTTTATAAGGCACTTGAAAAATATTATGAAGTAATTGAAAAGGAAGCATTAATTTCGTCATTACTAGATCCACGCCAAAAAAAACTGAAATTTGCAGATAATGATCAAAAGGAAATAGCAAGAACTAGTCTTAATGAAGTTTATGAATTAGCAAAGAATGATGCTAATATTCAACAGGAATCATGTGGGCCAAAACCAAAAAAAAGGAAAATATCAAAGGCGCGTATTTATAAAAAGAGTTTATTTTCGGATGATGATGAACTTCATGATGCCCAAATTGATGACAATGAAGTTGAAAGATATTTAGTAATGGCGCAAATTCAAAATGATCAAGACCCTTTGAAGTGGTGGGACGTAAATAAAGGACAATTTCCAATTTTGGCTCAATTAGCACGCAAATATTTGTGTATTCAAGCATAGAGTTTTTAGTGATGCTGGATTGATAATGTCTGCTAAAAGAACGAGAATGAAGGAGGATTTGTTTGAAGCTTTAATTTTTCTAAAAAGAAATTGCGATTTAGTAGGTGGAATTTTCAATAATAATAGTTAATATACAATAAGTCAATAACATTTGTAATGTCTTAATGAGCGCATGTACGCACAGTATAATTGTTATAATAAATATAAGTTTTGCGGGTTATCATAATAAAAAAATGAATTCATTTTATTAATGGCTTTAATGCAAATGTGTTTATAATGTAAATGTCTTTTATTAGTATGAATAAATAATAAATATTGCATAACAGATAACTGTAAATTGTATTTTATAATATGGGTAAGATCATATATATTATCCTAGGATAATCCGGATTATACTAGGATAATTTATCCGGATTAACTCTATCCTATTTTATAGGATATCCAGATCTTAAAATTTCTAAACGGGTTATCCGGATTATCCATAAGATAACCCGTTGGGAAACTCTACTCAATTGAAAAATTAATGAAATCAATAAAGTTGGTAAAATCAGAAGTTCTTTTAAAATTAATTCTTGTGCATGTAGAAAAAAAAATCTAATTATACAACCCTATAAAAAATTTTTTAGAAAATTGATCACACATCGGAGTTTTTTTGGAATGAAAACTAGAAAAATAATCATTTAACAGAATTTTACCCAAAAAATCTTTTATAGGGCGAAGGTTGAGATATGTCTTTTTTATACATGGCTTGAGACCAGAAAATCCGAAAAATCTACTATGTTAATGGATTATTTGGTGAGGATACTCTCTGACATCGTATGATTTATCAATGTTTCCATAGTTGCCTTTTTCATAGTTGCAAATACTGTAAACCTCGTAGGCTTTTTCTTTAAATGAAATTCTTTGACTATTTAATCTTAATAGATCAATAATAAACTGTTCTAGAGTCTAGACAATCTTATTAATAAATTATAATTATGAAGCTACACTATTTATTAACATATTTTTAAGTTCTACAAGAACCTCGAAATACTGTATATATAAAAAGGTCAGAAGCAGCCAAAAAAATTTTACTATTGGTTGTACGCATTTTTTCAGGGCCGGAATTATGATGATAATTTTGGTCAGTATCCAGGCATTATCTATAAAAGGCAATACTTTCGTGAATTTTTTTTTTGGCTGGTTGTACGCAAACTCTTTGGTTTACTGCTGGAAACGAAGGAAACGGGATAAACCTATAGCATATGCCCTTGTCTCACAGCTAATCAGCCATTTGCTTTTGCTCATTTTAAAAAACGACCAAAACAATTCCGTTCTGGAAGAGTTATTGTTTGAAGTCCTCACAATTACATCAGATAATTATCAACTTAAAATATTCGAAGCGACTAAAAAATGAATAGGACTAATATAACATAAACAAATTGCGATTTCTTCATCATTTAAATATGATACAGAATTATATTTATTCTATTATCATTCCAATAAAGTGTTTCTTTTAAACATTTTGGGAGTGCATATTCCATAAGCGAACTTCTTTATTTTTATTGTTAAAAAGATTGAATTTAAGTTAATTTAGTATCATTTAGTTATTTTTTAAGTTTGTTTAGTTATCAATGTGGACGTCAAGTTTAGACTTGAAAATAATAGAAGAGTTATTGAGCTACTAAATAAAATAATTTAATGTTTTTTTTAAAAAAAAATATTACATAGAAAGGGTTCGTGATATTAATTGATTAATGATTAATGCAAGCTAGATTATACTATTAAAAAATGGCTTTGAGCTAGTCAAAACGCCAGCCATATAGCGTTTTATCCAAAAATTATCAACTTTTTTATTCGTATAGTAAGTATTACCCGCGTTCACGCATGCTAGGTGATTTTGAAGTATATTTAGTAAAAGATAAATATGACTAAGTCTACCTCAAATTAACAATGTACCAGTCCGGTGTTATGGGAAATACATAAGGGGTTTAGATCTGTGCTACGAAATTCATGAATTACCTTTGTTTTTAAAATATTTTGCAAAATGAAATTAAACACCAGTGTTACGCAAGTATTAGTAAGTATTAGTATTACTACGCAATCGACTCATAATATACCTTAATCTCATTTAAGATTTAGCGGTAAAGTTTTATCTCTAACCCTCATTATCTGTATATTTATTCCAACTTCTCACATAAGTCAATCAAATTTAGAAATTTATCCAACGAAAATACAATATTTTTAATGTTAAAATATTACTAAAATCAATTATTTCAAATATAAAAAGTTTTGTTTTTTATCGCACCTGCGTTATGTCGCACTCCTATAATATGTTACATATAAAAGTCAAAAATGACGTTCTAAATCCTTTTTGATATATTAAGAAACTTGTAGAGCGGTCAAAAATTCACATAGTATAAGGTTTCTTATAGTACATAATAAGTGCATAAGGTCTCACGCCAGGATTTTTTAAAAAATGGGAAATTTAACGAAGTCATGTGATAAAAATGATCGACATAATTAATATATAAAAATCACCAAAAAAGGGAGATGCGACATATTAGAGTGTTAATTATTGGATTAGGTTTAGTATTAGGTTTAGTATTAGGTTTAAGGATTAGGGTAGGAATTCGTCACATAGTGTCACGGCTGTCACGCCCTAACTTTTTCTTCAATTTTGTAATTAATTAATTATTCTGGGACTTAGAATTTTTTTTATATGTAAGTGTTAAAAGTCGCTACCATTTATTTTCCTGGTGATGCTGGGGCCAGCTCTGGTCACGTTTATAGATAAGGTTATGTGTTTATTTTATATGATATGAATATACAAGTGATCGGTTGACTGAATCAAAGCATTTTTTAGTTCAAGTAATTAAATTTCATGGGTATTAATAGTATGTATAAGAACTCATTGATATTTTTTTTAATAAATACAAAACATTACTTTTTATAAATCTGTATCCGAATCTTTCCGTTATCTGCAACATATCGGTATGTTAGTTATCAAAGTAGATCATTACAATATGCTACACAACTTTACGGAAATAGATAATGCCGTTCATCATGAGACTATGTGAAACAAATATCAAATATTTTCTGTGTTCTGTGTTACGTCCGTAAAATAAAATACCAGAAAGGGTTATATAATAATTTATCTGATTCACAAGCCTCAACTCCAAAAAAAAATAAAAAAAAAAAAAATTTAAAATAAAAATATTTCTTGTTAAGTATGACGACAAGTGAATGGATTGACAAGAAAATAAGAGATGAAGACATAAAATTTTATGATTATAATGAATTCATCAATCTGGAAAGAGTTGGCGTAGGAGCGTTCGGAATCGTGAATAGAGCTGATTGGAGGAGCGGTAATATTAAGATAGCGCTAAAAATTCTTACAAATAATTCCGCAATTAATGAAATAAATAACGAAAAAAATATGGAAAATTTTATTAAGGAGGTAATATTTTGATATTATAATATAATGTTTTAATGGTGTATAATAACTAATAACTTATAATTTTATTATTTTTTTTTAAAAAAATAATGTAACTAGTTAAAGTTATTAAGAAAAGTTGGCTATCATCCAAACATAAATCAATTTTATGGAATAACAAAAGGTAAATATATCTTTCATTACATTCCGTTTCCTCATTCTGGAATTAACTAATCCTTTTTAATAATAGACCTATCATCAAACAATTACATAATGGTTTTACAATATGCGAATCAGGGGAATTTAAGAGAATATTTAAGTATTAATTTTAAATCGCTTCAATGGAGTGATAAAATATCGATGGCATCAGAAATTGCATGTGGATTGAATTATTTACATTCCACAAAAATTATTCATAGAAATCTGGTAATATTTAATTATTTATCATTTTATTTTATACTTGAAAAATTTAAATTATTTTTGGTTTATTTTTTAGCATGCAAAAAATATACTGGTACACAATGGAACTCCAATGATTGCATTGACCAGGGGAATAACAGCCGAAGATTCGTCAAGTTCAGTAATTTATGGAATGCCTGCATATGTCGAACCACAATGCTATAAATATGACGATTATGTCAGAGATGAGAAGTCTGACACCTATAGTTTGGGTGTTCTCTTATGGGAAATAACAAGTGGATATCCTCCATTTTCAAGAAATTCAGCTTGTAAAGATACCGATTTAACTTTATATATAGCCAATAGATATAGGGAAAAACCGATAAATAAAACACCTAAAGTTTACGTTGACCTATATCAGAGATGTTGGGATAATGACCCAAAATTAAGACCAACTATTAGTGATGTTTTTGATATATTGCAAGAACAATATAATTCAATTTCTAAAATTATGGAAGATTTAATTGTTATAGATAATGATGAAGATAATCGAACTCTGAATGATCAAAATGATCTTAAATTATCATATCTTGGGGATCCATTAGGTAAATATATTTATATTATCTTGATATTAAAAATTTATATTACTAACATCGTATATTATTAGGTGAATCACCATTTTTTACACCCAAAATTAATAACAATGAAAGAAAATGCATAAATAATGCTACAGACGAAATCATTGATTCTTATTTAAAAAGAAATAGAATTGGATGGACAAAATACTTTTCTTTTCCCAAAGTTTTAGAAAAACACGAATTGAGATCAGAAAAAATTTCCGGTAATCTGATCAATAATCAAACTATACGACAATATGAGGTAATTGTAGGATGTTTTTACGAAAATGGGTTTGGAATAAACAAAAATGAAGTTTCTGCTTTTGAGTGGTATAAGAGGGCAAGCGAAATGGATAATGTAAATGGCCATTTTGAACTTGGATACTGTTATAATTATGGATGTGGCATTAAGAAAAGTCTTGAAAAAGCAATAAAATTATATAAACTTTCTTCTTATGAAGGATTAAATATAGCAACATATTTTCTTGCGATTAATTATGAATCTGATAATCAAAAATATAACTTAAATGAAGCTTTTGAATTATACAAAAAGTCTGCTGAAAATGGGTTTATACCATCCCAATATAAACTTGCCACATTTTACGAAGAAGGCAAGGGTAAACGACAGAATAAAAAAGAAGCATTAAAGTGGTACAAATTATTTTTAGAAAATGATGGCGAGTATGGTGCAACATATAACTTTAAGGATAGCAAATTGGTAAAATTACGTAATTTTTTCATTTCACTTCTTTAAAAAGTAACCGACATTAATATTATATTTGATTAATAGGAGAAAAGCTCACCATCCGTTGAATTTATTATTGATGAAATCGAAAGAGAATTAATTCGCAATGAATTAGATGAAATTATTCAAGCTTATTTAAAGCATAATAAAATTGGTCAGACAAAAAGTTTTTCCTTCTTTGAAGTTTTAAAAAGTTATGAACTAAATTCGCGAGAAATTTTTAAATGTCTTAAGAGCAACCAAACTATACGGAATCATGAAGTAATGATTGGAAAATTTTATGAAATAGGGTTTGGAATAGAAAAAAATAATAGTGAAGCTTTTAAATGGTATGTGAAGGCAAGAAATAATTCTAACGGCATATTCGAAGCTGGAAACTGTTATTATTATGGATACGGTGTTGAGAAAAATAGGGACAAAGCGTTTGAATTTTTTCAACGTGCTGTTGATGATAGTAGAGAGGAATTAAATGTAGCTTTATATTTTCTTGCATCTTGTTATATATCCGGTGATGGTATTCGAAAAAAGAATGAGACAAATCAGCAATTATTAAAAGAGCATCATGCTAAAGCGTTTGAATTATACAAAAAGTCTGCTAAAAACGGATTTATACAATCTCAGTATGAATTAGCTAACTGTTATGAAGTTGGTATAGGTACTCAAAAAAATAAAGATAAAGCCTCAAAATGGGTTAAAAAATATAAGGAAAGCATTGTAGGTATTTTTTTTTTATTTTAAATCTTACAAATAAATCAAACATCTAATTGATTATATTTTAACATAAGGGACAGGATAGTCTATCATTTGATCATGGACTAGAGAACTATAAAATATATCGTGCATATAATATTGAAAAAGAACCGGTAAAATTTTTTTTTTCTTGAGTTTTATAATACTGTATATGCATTAATTAATAATTATATAATTTAATAGGGGCAAGGAAGACAAAATGTTCAGGAAAAGTTTTCAGAATCCACAAAGGCACTTGCTAAAATATATTTTGGTTCTCAGCAAGAAATCTTAACAAACAATGAAACACAAAATTGGGAAGAGTCTTCAAATTCCACAAAGGTACTTGCTAAAATATATATTGATTCTCAGCAAGCAATCTTAACAAACAATGAAACACAAAATCAGGAAAAGTCTTCAAAGGTACTTGCTAATATATATTTTGATTCTCCGCAAGAAATCTTAGCAAACAATTCAAACAATTTCAATTCATTACCGCAAATTTCCGGTACTACAAAAATAATGTTAAAAGGGATGAAATTCATAAAATCTGATCAACAAGTGATTCAACTGTTAAAATTAAATCATGGTTTATACTTGGATGGGCATGTCATACTAGCAAGTAAAAAAGCTATTGTCGCAGAAGATGGTAAATTGAATATAAGTTTATACAATGGACAACCATTAGTTTATAATGTAGAAGATAGCTTGCCATATATTAATTTTCCAATTGCTGAAGTTGTGTATAAGGGTAATTTATTGACATCTTTTTCAGGATGTATAGATAATGATGAAAATTTACATGAGTTGTATGGTCATCATTTTGCAAGGAAAGCTCTAATTGGAGATAAATTATTTATCAAAAATTTTAAGTCAGCTACTCCAGCCCAAATAGACATTTTAAAATTTTATTTATTGTGTGCATATAATACAGCCAAATATTCTACAAAGATTCCGGTCAATAATTTATTTACCTTAAATCTCTTACCAAAATTAGTAACCTTAAATGATGAAGAGTTAAATACTTATGAAAAATTGATCGAATGGATGAATAATTTGTATGTTGCAGAAGAGAAAAATGTTTTGATAGTTACCTATGATGATCTCATTCCCGTTTCTCAATTAAGAGAAACGTCATCATTAAGTGAATTCTTTAACGAAAAACAACTTGGAGATACTAGTTTTGAAGAGAGGTTAGATTTAGAAGAATGGATTGGAGATGCGATGAACGATAATCTAATAAGTTGGACTGAAGATTTTCGTCTTTTTCGGGGATTGATAATTAATAAAAATCATGAGATAAAAATTAGCAAGAAATTCGCCATTAATTTTATCGAAATCCCTAAAACTAATCCAAGTAATAAATCTTATTTAAAAGTTATCAATCCTTCAACAAAATTAGAAGTTATTTTAATTTCTAATAATATTTTTTCATTAAATAATTTAAGCACTTTTAATATTAATAATACTAAAAGTTATGGGAGCTATACTCATATTATAATCAAATGTGAACAATATGAAATTCTCTTTGATAAAGATAATATAAAACCTACAGAAGAATTTGAGCATGCTATAGAAGAGGCACTTGATAGTATGAAGCCTTTAAAAGCATTACAGGATATATCTAATGAATATGGTCATTTATTTCCACAAAGGATTATTTTAGGAAGATCACTTAAAAATATTCTATCATCTTCCTACTCATCTGATACTATTGATTTAAGATCAGAATCATTAATATCACATCTAAATAAATTAAACATTTCATATCTTTTAACACCAAAGGGAAAAATCATTGAGAAAGATAATTTAACTAATTGGATTCAAAACCCAAATAATTTGGAAATTATTGAATTTGATAAAATTGATCCTCTTTACAAAATTCTTAATAAGGAACAACAAAAAAAAATTAGTGATTTATTACAAAATAATTATAAAATACTGATGACAGGAATTACTGATTTGAAAGATTTAGATGATAATAATAACATAAATTACTACAAGCGTATAAATATTGAACCATCATTGGAGGATGAAGATTATGAAGTATTTGGATCAATTATCTCAAATAATAATCCGAAAGTAGAAGGAATTTATGTTAATTTTGGATCGTATGATTTTAACGGATTTTTTGCAATGATAAAACAATTAGAAGAAACAAGTATAAATAGTATAAAAGAATGTCACGTTTTATGGATGATTGTCGAAAAACCTTCAGAATCATTGATTTTTAGTCCAAGCAATCGAAAATTTCAAGTTAATTGTATTAAAACGTCTATTATATTACAACCTAACAAATCAAATTATTCTATTAAAACTTCTTTTTCATTATCTCAGGGATATACTATTTTTGTTCATGCATATTATCCATCAACTAATTATGAACCTGGTAATATTATTAGATTGATTGACTGGTCATATAATTTTATTAATTTTCAAATAACCAAATCAACTCAAAATGAATCATTTATCGATGAAGTAGATTTACATATTTGTGTTTTATGTTCAGACTGTAAAAATTTAAAGATTGACAATAAGAATGAAGAAGAGTATTCTTTAAATTTAATTGAACATATTTTGACTAAGGATAATTTTAACGAAAGTTTATCAACTGAAATCCATGAAGTTGACTAAGTTATATTTATAGATAATGTATTTTAGTATATTTTGCATGATTTTAGATAGTATTTAGTATATTAGTTTTCTCATTTTATATAATTTTTTTTTTTTTTGTGCGCGTTCTTTACATTTCAAAATTTTTGTTTCTTTTCTTCATATTACTAAATAAATTATATAATACAAAAAATATATTAATCAATGAAAATATCATATTTAATAAATATGGAAAGTTTATTGAAATCACATTTAAAGATTATTTTTTATCTTTAAAATTTATGTTACAATTGCAAACAACTTTTATAAGTTATCATAAATATTTTAGTGTTTGTTCATAAGGGCGGTCTATCATTTCCGAATCGCCGTTATATTTTCCAATAATTAATTGGAAAAATCACATGACTTTGATCACGTGCAGTCGTGCAGTGGACTATCGAAAACGTTTTTCCAATCAAGTTGTAACGAATTTAATTCAACTTCGTATAACTCTTAACAACACATACCTACATAAGTCTTTCAAGAAAAATTTTTAAAAAATGATAACAGGAAGTAATTTATTCTTGTGATTTAGGAGAACATATTATTCAAGCAAAAATTCAGCGTCATACCAACATTGGTTTAAAATTTGAAACAATAGGAGTGTAAAAAAAAAAGTTCAATATTTATTTTATTTTTATGTTACCGAATAAAAACAGTGTCAGTAATGACTACATGAAGACTATACAAAAGTTTGAGGTAATACAAAAGTATAAACTGAACAACTACGTCGCCCTAAGACCACTTTACATCGGTTAAAAAATAAAAGTGCCAGTAGACCCTACCAGAATCTAAAGGCGGTATCGAACTAATGAAATAGAAAAGTGAACAAACAAATAAAAAAAAGAATATTTATACTATACGTAAATATTGTCAGGTAGACATGTAGTGTTTTTATAGAGTGTCTAATAACTGTCTCAGTCGGTTCTGCGGCAGAGACGTATGAAAGGCCCATAGTTGTGTGTGAATCGTTATCCGGGGGAGGAGTTCTTCTTAAAAATACGACCGTAACGTTGATTATTTTTGGAGATGATGTATCGCGTTCGCGTTCACTTTGGTAGTAACGTCTTCCACAATGAAGGTTTGTCGTTGATGGTATCGTTGTCTGAGTCTCAATGCTTGTTGGTATCCATAGTTGTATTAAGGAATTTTACTGACGTCGAAACGGCGTCTGACTTTGTAATCAAAGAGGTTAATGTTATAGGCATCACGATAGTAAATACGCGGGTCGCCAGGAGTATCAGGCGGTAAAGGAGCTAGATTTTTTTTTTTTTGTTGCGTTTTTAATTCTACACAACCAGTTCTTCTCACGTCGTTTTTCTTTTACGTAATCAGGATGAGTGTGTTGGTTGAAAGAGCCATAGGGCGAAAATCGTACTTCGTATTTCTTTGAAGTTGTTTAGGGTTGGGCTTATTAGTATAAATGATATTCTTGACCGAGTACACTCCGTCTAAGACGGTTCCAGCGAGCTACTTGTTGTGGTGAGCGTACGAATCGTAATTAAGAATATTCTTTATAATAAACCCGTTCGGTAATTGTATTCTTTTTTTTTGTCTTTCGGATTTTCTATGATTATTTTGAGCTCGTGATTACGTTCTCCTAAAGAGGAGCGGTATTTTCTAATTGTGACGGTATAACCGAGACCGAGGCGGTTTTAGGGATTGGAATCGATTCAATCGAAAATCGAAACCCGAGAATCGATTTAAGAATCGATTAATCGTTTCTCAGTAATTTTACAAAAAAATCATTTTTAAACATTTTCGTGATGCAACGCTTTCGATGATCTCGGCGGCACAAAATTTTAGGTGGATTTTAACTAAAATACTAAAATAATCTTTATTGTAAAATCTGAAAATTTTTGATTAAAAAGTAAAATGATTTTATTTTGCATTGAATAAAAACCCTGAAAATTTATTAGCTAAAGTAATTATTATATAAAAGTCAAATTTTGTTATCATTATAGTAACAAATATATCAGATATACATAAATATGCAGTAGACATTTTTGGCCCGCATTATAGAATTATATTTAATTCTGGCCAAAAGATGATCCAAGCCCCTGAACTCGAAATTATCAATTAATAAAAAAAAAATTTTTTTTTAAATTAATTAAACATTAGCCACAAGCCCACAATTAACTTGATTGAGATTAAATTCTCAATTGTCTAATTGTCCAATATCTAATTACTATTGGTCAAAAAGCCATCACAATTGTTGAATTTTTGTAAATTCTGAGATTTTTTTTATTGTAGCGTAGTTATAGAAACAGCAAGATCATGTTTACTGCGCCAAAATATAAAAAAATTCGATTTATTGAGATTCGATTTTTCGATTAATCGATACGATTCGATTTTCGATTAAATCGATTTTAGTCGAATCGATTGAATTTCTTTAACATTTTTCTTGTTTTTTTGATACCGGTTTTATTTAACATTTTTGTGATTTGTTCTTTATAAAAGCGTGGGTCCTGTGCTAGCTAGATGTGAACAACTTTAGGATATAGACTGATATCAGAAATATGTTCACCGCATAGCCAACGATTATTTGACATGACGTAGGCGGCGGGTAAAGTGCAGTGATTTCTGGCGCATCGGAAATAAAATCCTAAGTATATCACGTGGTATCTTGGGCCGAAACGGATAAACGTTTTAGTACGTTTATTATTTTCTTAAAGAAAGTTCAATACAATCCTACCGAAAATGATTATCCGAAATCACATGTAACCGGTATGTGTAAGGCCGGACCAAGTTAATTATCTGTTTATCATAACATAAATTAAATCGATAAGAGGGGGGGAGGGCTAAAAATAATTTAAACAAAACGCACGTGATCATAATTTTGGCCAGAATTATAGTAATTCGGCCTACACAAATTAAGACACTATGTCTGATATGACGACATCATTTATTTTTTTATTACATTAAAATGCAGCATACGAGCTTTGTATTACAAATAAAAAACTAATGAAACTATGTTTTACGACGTTTTGAAGCACTACCATTAGTTTTAATCTTTCCCTTAGTATAAAATTCCTTCTCATTTCCCTGACATCCTTCACACAATGGATAAATTTGTTTAAAACGTTCTTTTAAAGATTGAGAAGGAGCTACTAAGCTCTCACTTTCCCCACAATAATAACAAATTGGATAGTTTCCTGATTTTCGACTTGAATAATACAGTATTTCAATTGGTGAGTCACAACTGATTCGTGTACTTACAAATACCACTTCACTTAAATAATGATCATCAGGAAAAATTGGTGCACCACAAGAGTATGAATATGACTCTATTGCTTGTTGATAATCTTCTTGTTCCTCATTATTCAAGGATTTATCACTATAAACACAACGGCGTTTTCTACAATCCTCACAATTAATGTAAAAACGAATTTTACCTCCAATTAGGATAGACTTTGAAATGGGTTCTGCATTCGCTTGTTTTTGCATATATGTTTGTCTATACTCTTCAGTAGTTTCAGTTCCATAAACACGTTCAAAAGGCATGTAGTGATCTGTATTGTCTGGTTAAAAATTAATAAAGTTTAGTTAATTTAAAATATTGAAAAAAATACAAAAAAGATAATTTACCTCGTGAAGGAATAGGATCTGGAAGAAAGTTCAAATTATTAAATTCGTGTAGTGGAAGGCGAATTGGTTTACAATATGAACAGGTAATATTGTTGCATTTTTTTACCTTTAAAAAAAAAACATTAAAATGATGTAAGAAATCAATTATTTATTATAGTATAAATGCCATAATATTACCTGAAAGCTATATGCACGAATACGGCAGTGAGTATCTATAAATTCAATTAAAGCAGTGTGATGACGTATTTGTACTTGTGTAGTTTCTTCAACTGTTAAAGTTGGATCTAAAGTATGAATAGACTGTTTGAAAAATAAGAAATTGTATGGATATTAAATTAATAAAAAAATATAAAAAATAAATAAATGATAAAATTTTACCTCAAATAATTCAGTAATAGCTTCCACATTTGCTGAATCATTGCATTTAAATTTCTTTTCCTTTAATGAGAGTCTTTCTGTTTGATTATTTAATATATTCTGAACACTTGCAATACTTTCTTTTAACTCAGATTCTAATTTATTAGATTCTTGAGCTTTAGTTCGTATATCATCTAAAGTATTTGCTGTATCAAATAGAACTTCAGATTCAGGACTCATTTGATCACGCTTAAGTGCAACACCTTGAAGACCTAAATTCAAAATGCTCATAATCCGTTCTGCTGGGTTCGTCCAGCTATGATTAGGAGCTGTACGAACTGCAATAAGTAAATCAAAATTTCCACTAAGAAAAAGACAGATTAATGAAATCTGTACTGATCCATAATTACATCGGTGGTCTGGCCCTCCATCAGTATAAAGACATAATATTGGAGGCGTCATTTGGTGTGCATATTGAATATTGAGTGCATTTAAAAATTCAGTTGAGTGTCTGATCGCATTACTTGGTTCAAAAGTTGCATCTTTGTAAGATACAAATACTTGGCCATCATAAAATGATCCTGAAATTTCATTAGGAATTGATATAAAAAATGTAACTGAAGGTGTTATAGAAAGTTTAGTAAAATCATGATCAGCAGCAGCCAAAGTGCTATTTTGAGCAACCATAGAATGTCTATTTCGTACGCCTGTAGAAACAGCAACATCTTCTCCAATAGGAACTTTATGTTTGTCATCAGCAGAAATTAAGCAAGTCCATTGTTTATAATGGATGCAAAATTCTCTAAGGTATCGAAAAAGTGCTGCACAATAATGTGCATCATCACTACTCTTTCGAAGTAACCGGCCTTGTACCTTAAATTTAACATTAAATTGGCCAGTATGATGCATTGATCTTGTTGTTGTAGCATTTGTAGGACAAAATTGAAGTCGGATCCACTCATCTGATGGAATATGAATAGTAAAAGGAAGTGGATCACTGTAAATAATTTTCAGCCTTTCTGTTACAATTTCACGAAGGTCACGGACAGATAAGGCCAATGGCATATATAAAATCTGTCTCTTATACACATCTAGATGTGTATAAGAGACAGGTTTAACGTCCTTTCCGGCCAAAAATTTTGAGGGTAATTTAAACAAACATGAAATTAAACATATTAAAAATTTCGGAAATTTTCGGTAAAATCGGAAATTCTAGGTACTATTAAATTTTAGTAAAGGAGGGGGTGTTTTAAGCATATTTAAACATATCAAACATATATGTTTAAATCACCCTTGAATTTTTCAAAAATAGAGGGGGGGGGGGAGGACGTTAAACTAAAGATTAAATTGGAACGGCCTTATTATGAATAGTAGTATCTATTAATGCAAATGCTCTATTAAGTGCTGCATTAACTACTTCTTTTCGAATATTGGACATTATGCAATCTTATATTATCTTTTTATAAACTAAGAAATTTGTAGAAAAAGAAGGTTCAGTTTCGTGATCGACATTTGATTAACTTTTATTAAATTAACAGTTAGGTGTAACAAAATATTACGCCATAGCAGATCAACCACTATATCGAGATTTATTAAAAATGATTGTAAATTTATTAAGTTTTTTCAGTAGTTATATATTTTTCTCGATATTTTTCTTGAACATTACAAAAATTACACTCTTTCATTATAAATTTACGTTTTGTTCTTTAAAACATCATCATATAGGAAAGAAATATTGTCGATTAAAAATTTTTTTATATCAGTCACCAAAAATGTCATGCAGNCTGTCTCTTATACACATCTAGATGTGTATAAGAGACAGGTCCAGAATCGAGCGTCCGGAAAATGTTCCAAAACGTGACCGTTTCCGAATGTTTTCCGGACGCACGGAAAATTTCCGGACATTTTCCATACTTTTCAGGACAAATTCCGAATTTTCTTTTTTTATAGGGCAACATGCGTGCTTTCAAAGTTTCATTTAATTCATCTTCATTTTCTGGAACCCTCCACACATAATTAATGGTTCCTAAATAATTGCCTTGATGATATCTAAAAAAATAAAATAAATAAAATTACATTATTGTTTATATATTTTATAAAAATTATTTTTTATATCAAATACTAATACTAACCTATATACACCTATCGGAAATGTGAGCTGCAATTCTTTTATGAACTGATATCGTTTCATAATATCAATTGGAAGATATTGCTTAATATCAATATATTCATACATCTGTTTTTCAAGTAAAACATAATTCAGCTGACTGTAAATATCATTAAGATTCTCATTTTTACAAGCAATAATTCGATACATAGTACAATCATTTTCAGGATTGCGAGCACTTCCATCACTATGATGAAGAATATTCATATTGGTAGTAGTTATAGTCAGATATCCTGCATATTTTTTTAAGATTTCAATTAAAGATAAAGTTGCAGGAATTACTTGATTCCACACATCATTATTCGCCCATGGTTGACTGACAGATAATTCAAGAGAACTTGAAAGGTAAACCAATTTTTGCTGTGATAATGGGTTTTTTTTATGATGACTGGTATGGTAAAATTTATTATACGTCTCCCCATCCTGATAGGTTTTTAGTTGTGTAAAAAAGACCGGCAAGTTACATGAACGTGCATGCAAAGTAGAAAGATGTGGATCAATATACCAAATTGCATTCATAATACGATTCACAAATGCTTTACCAATTGTATCATGTACACCACCTGTCCAGCCAACATTTTGATTACGAAATAGATCAATAATTTCATTATAAAGTTTATTACAATCATTATATTCAGTACAATGTTGAGGAAGTAAAGTTTGATATGAATTGTTCATTAAAATATCAAAAGCATTTAAAGTATTTGTGATTTGTGGTGTATCTAAATGTGTTTTTTCAATAAGACAAAATTTAACTTGAGAATATTTCAAAACTTCTAACATTTCTAAATTTCCTTTTAACCCATTGTCAACCTTTTTCCAGCTTTCAGACTTTTCACGTCTAATAAAAACTTCTACTTCTCTATCACCATATTCTCCTGATGTAACTGCACCAAAAAGATCACTAAACTGATTATTTGTAAATTCTATGCTCACTACATGTTCGGGAACTATACGTTTAATACTTTCATTAACTTGAACCAATAGATAAAGCATGTTGGTTAAAGAAGTTAATAGATATTACCATTTAAAAGCACCCCCTAAACGCGTAAAAATGTGATTAAAAAACGCGAATCATTTTGCTTTTATGGATAGATTTTCATCGTTGTCATCAGGTGTTAAAAGTGAAATATCATATCATATGACTAAAATACTGTGATTTTATTGGCTGTACATAATGCATATTATTCGACTAAATTTTATAAAATAGGGGGGGGGAGTTATGATAAACAGATAATTGGCTTGGACTGGCCTAACCGGTAAATAACCACTTTTCGAAGACGGTACTCCTTGCAGGCCTGTAAGGCTATAAAAATTGGACATTCTTTAGTATAGTCTCTTTTATTCTCCAGTTGTAACCTTTACTTTGTATTAATTGCCGATTCGTCTAAGAACGGTACTGCGTTACTAATAAAATTCGGAATTATATTTGCCGATTTTGTGCTAGAGCACAATCATAAACGACATATTACAGTAACTATAAATAAAAGTATTGAGAAAATACTTGAAAAAAAGTATTTGCAAAAAAAAATTATACGTTCATATGCAAAATAATGAGTTTACTATTTACTATGTACGCACGTCAGATTTACACCTTAAAATATAGGAAATTTCAATATTTTATTTTGATATATTGCGTTATTTACAATAGAAACATATAGTTTTTAGTTTTCAAAGTTGTTTTTAAAGACTTTTAGAAATATTTTTATTATTGGAACCAGATGAAAGTTTATGGCACCTCTGTTTGATGAAAGGGTGGAAATCTATTCCGCGCGTGAGATGTGAAAAACGCTTTTTTTTATTATCGATTATCCCCGAATTTTATTAGTAACGCAGTGCCGATTTTAGACGAATCGGCAATTAAATAATTAGATACTGTTACTATCAGTTTTCCGTGATAGTAACAGAAATTCGTGTCACGTTTATCGTGAAATAAAGTAAAATAAAGTGTATATGTAAAATTAAAACTTATATGTATAATTTTAAAGTGTATATTTATTCAAATAAGCAATGACTTAAAATAAATGAAACATTACAAATAAATAAATGCTAGTACATAATAAATTCATAAACACTAACAAAATAAAATATTGCTGCCTCTATCGGCGATCTGCAATATTACCGATAAACTAGACTAGACTAGGACTAAAATAAATCTTTCTCCTTCCCTTTTCTCCCACTGTTCGTCCGCTCTATATATATTGTTCGTAATTTCGGTATATATTATACATATATAAGTTAAACTTCGTGTAAATTATACCAGACATAAATTACACTTAGTATAAATTATACAAAGTATAAGTTACACCGTTACACTGCGGATCACTGCTAATTTCTTGAATTTTCTATGTGGCGCAGATCCGCGTAACAATACTCTTCGGTGTCACGAGTGATCAGCAAGACTTGAACTTTTCAGAGCTGGAATTACCGGTACCTGCCGTCAATATCTAAAAAAGTAATGATCTACATTTAAAATTAAACTCTTTTTATGTATTTTTTTCAGGGCTCTACATGCATAAGATTATCCTTGATTCCCGGGGGCGCAATTTCATTGTAAATTCAATTAATTCAATTAGTAATTAATATACTAATATTTTTTTAAAAAAATAATTTTATTATACATTGGTCAAGGTGATCTATTTGTCGCACAGGATATAATATGATGGGTGTAACCGTTACAACAATGGCGTGAAACGATACATTCAACGTGTGATCAAAATATAACAATGAAATTTGGGCAAACAAAACGTACATAAAAAAGAAAAAAAAAAAATTATTATTTAATATTTGATAAAATGTCTTCCAAAAAGAAAGTATTTATTCAAATTATAGGAGAGCAACTTATTGTAAAAAAATTAAATTTGGAGGATAGCTTATCTGATATTCGTAATAATATTAACGTCATTGATAATACGTTACTTTTTTTAGAGAAAAAAAACGATACGTTTGCTAGAATAGAAAATGAAAACGAAAATGAATTTTTTTTAAAAGATATTATAACAGTCGACAATGACCAACGTATTTTATTTTTATTGAAAAAACCATGTTGGAACGCCTTCAATGATAATTGTAAATTAGATTATGGGTGTACTATGAGTTTTGATGGAATTAAGAAAGCTAATAAAAGGGCGTTTATAATGAAAGATTGTGAATTAACTGAAATTAATGCTGAAGGGTATAAAAAAGATTTTCTTGAATTTGAATCAAAAGAAGATTGGATGAAGAAAACCAATTTATTTTTTAGTAGTGATCTTAATGTACAAAATTTTGTAGAGCTAGGATTATCAATTGAAGATACTCATAAAGAAAAATTAAATGATGAAATTAAATCGAGTTATAAATATACAGAACTTGGAAAAATGGCATTAAAATTTAGTAAATATTTAACTCCAACTGAAGAATTTATTAAGGCGGTAAGAAATGTAAATACTGATGATCCAGAAGAATATAGGAAAATTACCGAAGAATATGGTCACTTCATTCCATCTGAAATTATTTTAGGAGGAAGAGTATATTTTAAAAATATCAAAATGTTTTCAGAAAGTTCTGTTGATGAATCTAAAAAATATTCTGCAAGTGCAAGTGGTGGACTTTCGAAACTCAAAATAGGATATGAATTTAATAATTCAGAAGGAAAATCAAAATTCCACGCTTCCAATCACACGAGAATACTTGGAGGAAAGCATCCTGATGGTGAAAATTTTGATGAAAAAGCTTGGATTGAATCTTTAATTGATCATCAAAATTGGGATTGCATAGAATTTAAAAATCCCATTAATATATTTCTCCTTTTACCTGACGATTTACGTAAAAAATCTTTTGAAACAATTGGAAAAAAAATTCTTTATACGTGTATTAAAGATTGTGTTTATTATTTGAATAAACCTGGAAGGTATCGAAATTTTGAATTAAAATTACCACAAAATGTCTTGGAGGTTATTTTAAATAAAGAATCAGGCTGTGATATCTTTGCAGCAGTTGTTGATACTGAAAATTCAAAAAATGTTTTTTTTAGCTATTACGTCCTTAAACCAAAAGTAACAGAAGAAGATAAGCCAGTAAAACCAAGAATTATAATTCATGGTGTCCAAAAAAAATATCAACCACGTAAATTCAAATTGAAAATTAAAATAATGGTTGTCGGTATTGATTTGGATCTTAATTTTATTCTTCCAAATATTATCAAGGTTGAAGTAATTGAAAATTCTTTCAACTCAAAAGATAATTGTGATTTTTATAGTATGAAACTTACACCTAAGTGTGATTTAATATCAGAAAATATCCCTTTCTTTGGAATTCCTATATTAAATGATTTAAATTCAAACAATTCGCTTGTTATTGGACATAAATTTTGCAAAGCTCAAGCAGATAATGAATTAGAAATACACACATTCTCTTATTGTTTAAAAGAAAATCGGTACGTTAATTTACCCGAATTTACTTTTCACACTCTTCTAATTTTAAATAATCCTACTCCTGGTGACTATGAGTTACTTCCTTTTAAGTTTAGTAGAATGAAAAAAAAGCCATTTATTGATCTTCAATCACAATCTAGTAGTTTAAATCCAAGATATGTTAGCTTATATTTATCATCAAATGTCAATAATAATTATAAACCATTTTTTTTGAATCAAAAGATTAAGCAAATTAAAATAAAATATGTTGATTGTAATTGTGATGAAGATTGTTCTTTTTGTAAGAACAAAACACAGCAGAGATTATCAAAAAATGAAAATAATGTTGAATGCATTGTATACAACTGTTAGGTAAGTAAATTTATTTTATCATATTATTTATTTTATTAGTTACTAAAAATGTTTTTTTTTTATTATTAGCAATAACAATATATGGTATAAAATCATATATTTCAAATTAAGTCATCAAGTAAATTATTAAGTGTCTACATTTTTCTATTATCAATATGTGATTCGTTCATTTTAAATAACATTGTAGGGTTTATGTCGGAGTAATATTATTTTATTATTATCTTAGATTCACCAACTATATTTATATTTATAACATGTTGAATATTCTTTTATTATCAATTTTTTTATTTTTGAATGTACAATTTAAGAGAAAGCTCTATATCTATATATTATTAATAAACTTCAGTTATATAAATCTTTATTGATACGAAATTTTATTATTAGAAATTTATTTTATTATATTATTATTATATTTTTAATATTTGTTTTAATTTATAGTTATTTATTTTTAAGAAGCGCCTACGGCAGGACCCAGAAATATATAGAGGTCAGGTGGCGAAAAAACTTTACTATTAGCTCTACAGTTCTACGCAGAGGTTTTTTATAAGAGAGTTACGCGTTATTGACACCTGATACTGTATCAATAATCCTATGAAAATAAACAAATAAAATTTATTATATTATGATTTTTTTAAACATGCATCTATTATTATGCTTCTATTGTTTATAAAAAAAATTTCCCCATTTAACCTATTCCACTATTATTTCAACAATATCTTCTCGCTCAAAATAATCAAAATAATATTATAAAAATTACGCAAACTAAATTTCTTATATATTAAATTTTAATAAAAAATACACAAACTAATGATCAGATTATTAATAAAAATTTCAACAAATTGGCCGGTTAACAAATTGTATAATGGCTTAATGGGACGATTTGACCATTCTACAAGCTGTCCATTGGACGAATATATACCTAAAATTTAAAGAGGAGATGAGGAATGGGTGTGAGTTTACATTTATTAACAATAAATATCATAGGATAATACGAATATTACAGAGCATTAATTTTATTATAATTCCTTTGATTTATTAATAATAAAGAAACCCGTAAATAAAAAACATTGTTTTATTATTAATTTCATTATCGGTAGTTTACCAATTTTTATAAATTTGGATTTTATTTTTAAGAAAAAGATCCTTCAATTTATACGTGTATTAAAGATTATGATTATTTACATGAATAATTTTATGCCACACTCTCTTACCATAGCCCTAAATAACACCTTTTTTAACGTTAATTCACCATGCCACACTCTCTTACTTAACCCTAAATAACGCCTTTTTCAACGTTACTTTACTATACTACATACTTTAACTCATTGCCAAGACTTTTTAGTTTAACTTACCAAGGCATCTGAATATAAATTTAAATTAATTGTATTGCTTCATATAAAGTACTTTAAGAAATTTTGAAATAAATGAAAACAAGGAAAGAAGAAAGGAAGAAAGGTCATATGTATGTCATCCATCGGATGTCCACAAAACACGTAAAAAAATGAGAACACTGGAAGCCCTATACCCTCCAGCGGTATCCACCCTATTTCTAACGTAAATAATAAAAAGTTTATTGTAGTCTCCTAACGGTGAACAAAAGTTCGCCCCGGTGAATTTTTCATAGCTGTAAGCATAAAGATCAAAAAATACGGATGTTAAAAAGTTGTATATAATAACATGGAGTAAGTATATATATTATTTATAAATAAATTTTTTTTTTTTTATGTTAAAAAGAAAAAAAATGTACGATTAGCACGTTTACGTATAGATTGAGGACAAATCAAAAGGATATTACTAAAGCTTACAAATTGGTAATTGGAAATTTTATTGTAAGTTTAATAAATATCTTTAGAAAGAACAAAAAATTAAGTGAATTTGTAGAAGTTAAATGATATACTGTATTTTTCATAAAAGTTAGAACTTAATTTTGCGGACATTACAAAAAAATATAAATATATAATTTAGTGTAACCTGTTGCATTGCAACAGGATTAATTTATGCTAATTTTTCCAAATTTTCTATTAAGAAACTGTATAATTTCACGTGATTTCTTACAATTGTTTTCACAGATGGTTTTGAGAAATCTTCATAACATCTTGAAACCCGTAAAGCATTAACACGTGACCTTACGTTTTACCAAGACGTTTATCATGACAATATGTCCTCTTTCACAAAACGACTTCGCTGGACCAAAAAACCACACGTACGTGAACGTCTAGAGAAAGAATATGCGAAATTTTCTTAATGGCATTATAGTGATCTCCATCCAGATACGTCTGGCGATACGAAAGAAATTGAACGACGCCCTAACAAACGAAATGTAGACATCAACCGCAATTTGGACTCTCATATCTTATCACGTCAAGAAAGAAAACGCGTCCGACGACAGGCTACCCTGATGACTCCCTGGCCGCTGGACCGTCTAACTCCAAATAATTTGTTTTTTTTTACTTCTTTTTACGAGTCATTATACTCTTACAGCATTCAAACCTAGAATAGTGTGAACTACTCCACCACTGACAGTATTAACAGGTGGCAACTTTTAGTTGAAAGTAAAATACGGATCGTTTTTTGATTGTTTTTTTCGTTTCCTCGGATGGCAGCGTATGTCTTCCATTCCGCAGTCTTTTTATATCTTTCTATCGAAAGGTGGGTCCGATTCGTTTGTTTTGGGTAGATATTATAGCTCAATTTTTAATAGTCAGTATAGTCGGAATTGTGCCGCTCCTATCTGTGAAATATATTGACTAGAATAACCGCTCTTCTTAAAGTAAAATAAACTAAAATAAATAAAATTGAGAAATCTTTATGAATTCACTATTAATGGTCGTTAGAATTTTAAATTTCTCTTATTCTCCTATGTCGATACACATAATTTTTTACTCTATCATTGTTTTAATGATTATATCCAATTCTGTATATTCATTATCTTTGTAAATCTGTATGTGCCCCCAATCTTCTATATCTGATTCACATCTTGGGAATAAATTACACTATCAGACAATTCAATCACTGTTCTTTCTGAAACGGAACCAAGAATATTTAATGAAAAGTCAAAGATCTAAGTAGGACCCCGAAATATACATAAAAAGGTCAGGTTCAAGTTTGCGTACAATCAGCAAATAAAAATATGAAAATCTTTTCTTATATAGATAATTCCTGGTGGAAGGGTATTACCTTGTTTGGATGTTGACCGAAATTATCAATTCCGGCCCTGAAAAAATGTGTACAGCTAATAGTAAAATTTTTTGGCCGCCACCTTACCTATTTCGGGGTCTATCTAAGTAGTATGTTTATAAAAAGAAAATTTTTAGGGGTCATAAGTCATAACCTTTTATTTATATGTTTAATGATATTCCTTAATCTTTATTTAAGAAAATATTTTCTGACAATAATTTTTTAATAAATTATGTAAGTTTTATTAAAAAAAACTATCACCATATATAATTCCTTGACCTAAGATAATTATATAACATCATGTATAAGATATAAAACTATCATAAATAATATATTGTAAAATAATAAATAAATAAAATTCAATAAGAATAAAGAAATAAAATATTATAAATGAAATAAGAATCTATCACTTATAACAGGTTATATATAATACATTCAATATCATTTTCACTTTTTGATATTCCCAATGTTTTGTTTATACAAACAAAACAAGTTTTGCCACAATTGCAATCGACATATTTTAGCTTTATTTGTTCAGTTTTTTGTTTCAAAAAGAATGGTTTATAATTATCTTTTGATAACAAACTAACATATTTTGGATTTAAATGTGAGACAAATTTCTTTTTAAGATCAATAAATGGTTTCTTTTTCAAAATACTAAACTTAAAAGGAAGTAATTCATAAGCATTAGAAATAGGATCATTTATTATGAGTGTGCAAAAAGTAAATTTTGGCAAATCAACGTAACGACCATCCTTTGAACAATAGGAATACATGTCTATTTTAAGTTCGTCATCAACATTGCGAAAATTATGTCCAATAACAAGAGACTTGTTTTGAGAATTCAAATTTTCAAATACAGGTATTCCAAAGAAAGGAATATTTTTTGTCATTAACTCATGTTTTGATAATGACATACTATTAAAATTGCACTGACCTTGCGGTATATAACGCTTTTTAATTACTTCAACATTAGGAAGAATAAAATTAAAGTTTGTATTATAACCAACAACCATTATCTTAACTTTCAATTTAAATTTATGTGATTTGATTTTTTTTTGAATACCATGAATGATAACTCTTGGTTTCGCTGGTTTCCCCTTTTCTGCTTTTGGTTTAAGTATTTGACAGCTAAAAAAAATATTTTTTGAATCCTCAGTATCAATAACTGCTGCAAAGATATCACAATCAGCTTGTCTATTTTGAATAACATCCAAGATATTACGCGGCAACTCTAATTCAAAATTACGGTACCTATTAGATTTACTTAAATAATAATTGCAATTTATGGTACTAGTATAAAGGATTTTTTTTCCAATAGACTTGAAGGGTATTTTACATAAAGTATCAGGTACAAGTTGAAAAATGCTAATAGGACTATTAAATTCTATGACTTCCCAGGTTTGATAATCTCTTAATGATTCTAACCAATATTTTTCGTCAAAATTTTCACTTTCAGGATGGCTTCCTCCAAGTAACCTTCTATAGTTAAAATTGTAAAATTGTGATTTTTCATTCGACCTATTAGAATTAGCTCCTAATTTTAAGTTTAATGGTCCAATCTTCACATTTGCAGAACCTTCCTTAGTCTTATCTACAGAATTTTTTGATGATATCTTGGTGTCTTTAAAATAAACTCTTCCCCCTAAAATTACTTCAGTTGGAATGAATTGACCATATTCTTCGGTAATTTTCCTAAATTCTTCTGGATTACCAGATTTTATGGCATTTTTTATTTCTTTAATAAATTCTTCTGTTGGTTCTAAATGTTCTCGAAATGTTAATGTTACTTTTCCAACTTGTGTATATTCATATACTGACTTAATTTCATCATTAAAATTTTCATTCTGCGAGTTTCCAAATGATAATCCTAGCTCTGCAAAATTCTGTACGTTAAAATCACTGCTAAAAAATAAATTGGTTTTCTTCATCCAATCTTCTTTTGATTCAAATTCGAGTTTATCTTTTTTATATCCCTTAGTCTTAATTTCATTTAACTCACAATCTTTCATTTTAAATGCTCTTTTATTAGCTTTCTTAATTCCATTAAAACTCATAGTACATCCATAATCTAATTTACAATTATCATTAAAAATGTCCCAGCATGGGATTTTCATTAAATATAAAATATTCCTATTATTTTTGATTGCTATAATTTCATTTAAACAATAACCTTTTTCATCTTCATATTCTATTTTAGCATATCCATCGCTTAATTTTGTTGCGAATAATAATGTATTATTGATATTATTATTATTACGAACATCAGATAAGTTATCTGTTAGATTTAATTTTTTTGAAGTATATTGTGATGGCAAGTCATCAATAGTTTGAATATATACAATCTCGGAAGACATTTTTTTTTTTTTAGAAAAAAAAAAAGGTTACGCTGGTTGTAAGCTATTTAGTGTAACTTTTGTCATAGTTAAATAAATAATGCTTGTCATCGTGTAACTGCCGCAAAATTGTAACAATGCAGCAAGTAGATCGTCTTACCACAATAAAAATGCAAGTATACGAGTACACAAAACCTTTTAATCGACAAATTTTTCTTGGATAAAAATTTTGCCTATCTACAAAGTACAAAATGCTGCAAGTAGGTAAGCCACAGTAAAATAAAAGACCTGTGCAGCGTGTAACAATATTTTCAGGCATTTGATATGTTGGAGTCTAAGTGTCTAACTTTAGTGTCTACACGATTATACTGTACATATCTTCGAAAGATCTTAGAGTGCAATCCAAATTTCACTTTTATTAATATTGTCCGATTCGATAAGATGTTGTATAACCATAAGTGGTTCAAGAGTTGATGACCTAGGATACCGGCACGATTATTAAATTTTAATTTTGATGTAAGTACAGTATTTGAGACTAAAAATTTTCTTGGTATTTCGAGAAGTGTAATGTCTGGTGTTGGTAATTGACAGTCCCAATCGTGTGGAAAAAGTAATCATGCTTCTTTAAGAGAGACATAGATAAAAAACTGTAATAAAATCATTAAAGCAGAGTCGTCCAGATGTTTCTTCAGCGTTTATTGATAGGTTAAGGTTTTAAAGAAATTTTTAAGTCTTCAAAAGATGAGTATGTATAAATATAGAAATCTTGTTACTACTACTTTCGGTCAAGATAATAAAATAAATTATAATATATGTTTATCTATTTTTTCCCTTTTCCACTGTATTATATGATTACTTCTTTTTTTGGTCCTTGTAAAGAAGAAGATACAACTTGGCGTGTTACGTGGTTTTTCGTTAGTCCTTTGTTATAATCAACATGCATGTGTAATGCATCAAAAGAACTTTTTCAGAAGCTTACGAAGCCACCTAATTGATTGATAACGTCAATTAACTTAAAGACCACCACTTGAGACTTTTTACCACTAGCAGTCACTGGCAGAAAAGAACAATAAAACGGGTTTATTCAAACCGTTTAGATTTTCATACACCATTTATTACACCGTCAATGGACGAAAGATGTCCTCGTATCGCAAAAAATTACCTAATTATAAAATCCTTGAGTTTAAGGATCCTTGAACGAAAAAAAGACAAGAACGACATAGAGAGTTATCCCTATAAAAAATAAGTGTCCGGAAATTGTCCAGAAATTGTCTGGAAAATTTGTCTAAATAATTGTCCAGAAAATGTCCAGAAAATGCCAGGTACCATGTCCGGAAATTGTTCCGAAAACACACTCGTTTCCGGACACTCATTTTGTCCAGAATTTGTCCGGAAATTGACCTGAAATATTTTTTCATAAAATTTGGCACAAAAGATGATCAACAGGTGACCATCATTATAATTGCTTTTAACCTAAAGTTTTCTATCATAGATATATAGTATTTTTGCCTGCTCAGCAAATTTAATTAGTATGACAAAGAAGGTTATGAATGTCAGTCTTGTGCTTTTTGCATTTTTTTACAAAATTAATTTATCCTTTTTTGGAAGTAGCGTCCAGAATTCT